GTATTAAAAATAAACCTTTAAAATGTTGTGGCTCTAGTTTTCAAATAGGTTTTTTGGATTATCCAGTCTTGCATCGATCTCTTAGGGGAGTTATCAGTAACAAACTTTCAAAAATTTGTGACTCTAGCTTACTAATTTGTGGAAGTAGGTTCGAAGTTCCTGGGGGCGACGTGGTCTAAAAATTAAATTATATGGCAATCCTTGAAGGAGGTTACCAGCAAATTACCTTCCTATCTATCTATCGTCTATCGATTTACACTTTCCGCACTATCGGCTAGGGCATTATGGGCGTGCCAAAAAAATTTGTTATCGGTTTTTAAATGCCAGTAATATAAATACCAAATTTGACGGCTCTAGCTCAGGAACCTTTGGTATCAAAATATTAAAAGTTCTATTATATACATATATATATATATATATATATATATTAAAATAAAATATATATATTGTAATGAAATATATAAATTATAATGAAAGTTAGAAGACTTTCTTAAACAAAAATCATATTGCAAAAAATATAAACAGAATTAATATAATTGATATTAATGGTACTAACAGCCTAAGTACCTTTTTATTAAGCTCTAATTGAATTAGTTCCACTTTTCACGAAAGCTCTTTAATAAACTCGTTAAGAGCTGCACGCTTGTTTATCTGATTTTAAGGATACAACGTCAGATTCAGTTTTTTGACATGAATCTCCAATGCGTAAACAACTAAAATGACTTTGCGATTTTGACAACGGGGCGCCTAAAAAGTTTTTTCACTCTTGTCTGTGAGCACAAACACACGCACAAGGGTTGTAAAGGTGATACATATTTTTTGGGGGACTTCATTTTTGCTTGGCGCCGCTGCTGAAATCAGATTACAGTTTTGATCATGTGGTTAGTGCCGCCCAAATTGGCTCTCGAACCTGGTAGCCTGGTAGCCTGGTAGCGAGTTTAAAGCTTACTTCGCTTGTTTCACTTAATTAAGCTGACGTTCCCGCATATTTCAAATTGGTAAAGTGACTGCTGTAACAATTATGCAAATATGTCTTCCAAAGCTGCCAACTGAGGTAAATGCTTAATGGAATTGCGCCGTAGTCGCACAATTCAAATTACAAAACTCAAGTTCGAATTCACATATTTTTGGCAGTGAGCTCGTCGACGCCAAGTCGCCTGGTTAGCTTCATTATGTAGCATTTTCGAAAATCCATTTTAAGCCACGATGCGCTGCTGTAAATGTGTGTTGGTGAATGCGTATGCTGGCGTATTTTCAAAATTTAAAACCATGCCAGGCAACAGAATTAGTATGCATGTCACAGCCGTACGACACGAACGGAAAGCCACTTGCAAAGACGGCTTACAACGGCGTGTGTGTGTGTGTGTGTGTGTGATGACCAAAAAAAGTTTGTTTTAGTGGCCGTCCATAAAATGCTGTAATTGCTGCCACTAATTAGCTAGCTAAACCCAAACAGTAAGCTTGTCACGGGGCGTATGCTTAATGTGTGAATGAAAATTGTTTTAAAACAATTTTGAATTGAAGAATTTAAGCGATGTGTGAATGCTTATACTATACCTTTGTAAAAATGCATAAGTGCTTTTAGGATTAGACATATGTATTTAAAAGTAAATCATAACAAAAGCCAGCTTAGAAAGTTGTTTCAATACAAAATGGTTAATAAAAATCAAATAGTTTTCACCGATATGAATACATTAATGAAAAAATTATATACTGGATAGAGCAAGGTTCATTAAATGGGCTTAAGTATATGGATAATGTGAAAACTTCTTAGTGGCTTAGTTGTTGTTCACGTCTATAAAGCCTCATTGCTTCCCACGATCTGATAATGATCGTTTCTTAAGCGCTTCGGCTGATCCCATAGCATCTTATAGTATACTGCTTCTCTCTTTAACTTTAATCATGGCGAAAATTTAAAATATCTCAAGCTGGGAGCACTGTAAAGCCTCATTCTTCTTATTGCTCAATGCCAAGCATTGTCACGTTTGCTGGTTTAAAAATGAGCCTCGTTCACAGCTAAAGTTGTTACAACATTATTAGAAATTGACTATCAAACATGAGATACGTATGTGTGTGTGTGAAAGTATGTGTCCTTGAAAGAGGCACACGCTAAGACAATGGCGTGCTACGTAAGAAACGTCAACACAGGACCAACAACAACCATTTTTGGTGCGGCAGCCACTGCAACGCAGGTAGCTACATAGAGACAAAAATGGCGCCACATTTTAAACTGACAACGACTGAAACTGACCTCGGATGTCGGTTAGATTAATGCTTTAACACTAAAGGAATTTTTATAAATGATGCCCTGTACCACTACAAATTTTTACAGACAGTTCAAGTCCTTAAAGCGCATGCACTTAAACTAATTGCCAACAGGCTGTGAACTTCAATTGCATTGATTGGCAGAATCGGTGTGAGTACCAGCAGCTGTGCAAACACACACACACACACACAATTTTAATTGCAATTGGGTCTCAAACTAATTGACATTTGCTACGTAGACAGGTGTGCCATGCCACAAAGCAAACACGCAAGCGGTCAGGACATAACTGCCTCCCTGGCTGCCCGACCAGGTCCAGCCTGACAAAATGCCAAGCAAAACAGACAGGCGTAATGGAATGTGCCTGTAGTGGACAGTCTTTTGGCCCTGCCTGCTAAAAGTATACCCAAGCATTTCACATAAATGGCATGTTAAAGTAATTAAGTGGCATAATAACTTTGCTTTTGCTAGCCCCAGATCCTCTTCGCCATGCCAGCAGACTCGTCTCCATCCCTCGGTTTTTGGCCTGTCTCACAAATTGCCTTATTGACTCATTAGCCCAGTTTTGAGTGTCATTAGATGGGCTTTGGTTGCTGCCAGCCAAAAAATTTAATAAAAACAGCAAGCAAATAAATTTACATACAAATTTTAGGATACTAGCTAGATACAGGACAGTGCCGTTAGCAATAACAATGTATGCATAATCTTATCGAATGATTTAATTCCATTGTTGCTGCTGGTTCTGCTGCTGGGTCTACTGCTGGGTCTACTGCTGATACTGTCCCTGTTCCTGGCAGTCGCAGCCAGGCTCTTTGTCATTTGGCTCTGAGATACTTATCACGTTATCCTGTACCCAGCAAGCAAATGAGTCCTTTCTATGTGTATGCTGTATATATGTGTTCGTCGACTAACCAATTACACTCTTCCACTATTCTGACAGCATGATGATTATGGGGGCACAACATATACAGTTTGAAGGCATCCTTCCAACTCCCCTTTTAGATCTTTGTTGATGTGCGACTATAGAATTTAAAAACATGCTTGATTCGATTTACCACTTGACAAGTGATTCTTGAATCATACGCTCCAGTTTTTTATTAGCAAATAATTCGTTTGATTTCGAATTGCGCTCGAATTTGAGCTGTCCTTTTTTAAATTCAAAGCGTCCTTAAAAGCATGATACAATTTTGTAGTAAGCCTCTCAACTGTTTTACCCTTTTCGTGGAAAAGGATATTGAGTGATTATCCATGCTGACAACTGCCAATGACCATTTTTGTTGTTTTTTTTTTTGTGTTTGCTTCCATTTTTCGCTTACCCAGTTGGTGTTTTTGTTGGCGCAAATCACAGACGATACTTTGAAGCAAATGCTGTAGCCGCCACATAAAACATTCCGCATTTTTTACGCTTCTAACACAGTCATCGTTGGCGTCTTCGTCGTGTTTTTTTTTTGTATTGCACAATGAGAAAGCTGGCTTAATGTTGATGGTGGCAGGTCCTGCAGAAAGGCTTAGCTTTTAGCAAAGCAAAGCGTCTGGTAATAAAACACTTTGAGCCAAGTATTTTGCAAATGGATTTTGTATTTCTGTAGCAGCTTTGGGATTCAAAAGACTTGAAACCAATGAAAAATTGACAGCTAACATGCTCAGCATACCAACTTAACGTCATCATTGAGAAAACTCTACGTTTTGGCTACTCATTATAGCCAACTTGTTGTATTGAAATTATAAAGAAAAAGAAACCAGAAAGGTTATGCAAACTGGAATCAAAGTTAAAAATGTTAAAGCCACAAATATGCCAAAAGAATGTGCCAGCGCCTGTTCTATAAAAAGCCAAGAGGGAAGCTTGCCAGGAGCCAAGTATCAATAAAGGTCTTGTAAGCCACAAGGAAACCAAACAAAACGGCAAACGAAAGGTCCATGCGAATATTAAATGCAAAAGGCAAACAAGAAAACAGCAAACAGCGCGAAAAGAAGCTTCTCTACTCCACACATAACTATTAACAATATAACATCTATACTGTAGTCTGCTGAGTTCTACGACCCTTTATAAAAATATATATAAAAAGTCAAGGCAACCACATCTCCCTCGAGATGATGTGTGGGGTGGTTTTCTTTGCTGTGAATTAAACAAAAATTTGCTGTGCACGCTCATAAAACTGGTAAAAACGCGCCGAACCCAAAAGAAAGTGAAGCCCAATAGAATAGCTTGGAGCGGGAGGTGAAATGGGTAGCTGAATGGTTTAGCATTACAAAATTTAAATTTGAAGAGTAAGAGCAACGCGCCAGTCGTTAAATTAAAGCTATCAGAACCGCAAAAGGGAGTGCCATAATATACCATTCAGGTTGCGGCAAAGGACATTGTTTTTCTTAACAAATCAATTACAGCTTCAAATTCTGTAGAGGGTTCTGGCCTCTTTTCCTATTTCTATCTTTTTATGTATTTCGCTCTGTGTCTGTACTTGGTGCCTGGAAGCGAGTTTTGATTAACTTCCGCCCACGCGAATTTGCGGCCATTTGATGTCGTATTTGGAGCCTTGCTATACGTGGGCATGCGAACTGCTGGACCAATTGTTTGCCACTTCTAATAGGTAATAAAAAAATAAAATGTTGCCTTTCAATTTGAATGCCCTCATGTAGAGGATTGACTATTAATCAGCATCAATGGCAAACTTAATACAGTCAGAAATTAGCTGTGTAAACTGCCTTTTAAATTATCTTATTCATTTATTTATGTACATATAAGTTGACCGAATATAATATAGCTGAGTGTATGTAATCTTCGCCATGCCGAAAATATAAATTTTCTCTACTATTTTCTCTCACAACTCCTTAAATTTGTGTCAACTTTGCAGACTTTTTGCTTCCCTATCAGCATATTTAATGAGAAAGGAAACGGCAAGGGACAGTGACAGAGACAAGGATTCAACTAATAGAATCGGCGAAACCAATGCGATGATTGCCCATATCGAACTCTGTATAGTATTTGCTCAGAAATACATCGCCCAGTATCCACAGTGGTCCACTTGGCGATGGTAGATCCACGGCTATAAAAGCCGATGCGCAAACTGTACGATCCGCAAAGATATCATGGAATACATAATCCTCTCCCTTCATCTGAAACCGACGACCGCCGAGGGCAAAACTGAGCGTCGGCAAGTGCGGCACCTGCTCGCAGGGAACGGAGAACTGGCCGTAAGCAGCGGGTGTACCTCCAATGGATTCATTAATCAGTATGGCTTGCTCATAAGGCACAGCGATAAAGGAGGTGCCTGTATCGATGATGACGTGGCAGCCCTTCTGGCACATCTGCAGCTTACCAATGTACGCCGCCTCCAATTTGACCTGCCAGTAGGCGCGATGCGTTACCGGCACATAGGTGAAGTTTCCACGATAGTAGCGTCGACTAGAGCCTCCAAAGAACAGGTAGCCACCTTGAAGACTGGTCGAATCTCGATTCAAATACACCGAGAACACAGGGCGCTCCAGGAGACTCTGCTCCATTACAGCATAAAATGGTGGCTTGATGTTTTTAATAGAAATCGCTTGATAGCCCAGGCCAAAGATGCCATCGAACTTCGCAGCCAGGAAGATGGGACCAGGCATATCGGTGGCCTCGGCAAACGTTTGATTGAGCAACTCCAGTCCAGCCATACGCACCGTGTCCTGCGACAGATATCCTGTGAGACTACCAGAGCCATACTGAATATCGAATTGGGAGCCGTTGGATTTGTAACTACGCGAGCGTTTAGCATTGTAGCGACTATGAATCTGGCAGGCGAGCTTTCTGTGACACGTCTCCGACGGCACCCACAGATTCGCCGAACCCGTGTCGAAGATGACATTAAACGTTTGCGGTGGAGTTCCAATGCTGATGGGTCCAAAATACTGCGCATCCAGATAGTTGCTTAGCGGTACACTCCTCAACGAATCCCCACGCGTCCTCAAGCTATACTTGAGCCGCAGTCGATCCATGCGGATGCCAAACTGCTGAAAACGATGGCGGACCGAGGGAAAACGATGGAGTGGCACACGGTACAGTTGTGTGCACTCAGCGGTTGCTAGGAGCAACATGAACAGATACGGCAGCAACTTCATAATGCAAATCAATAAACAAGTTCTGTTTTCTATTTTTGTTCTTGTTTTTGTTGTTGTTCAAAATCCGCTTTGATTTGATGATGATATGCTTGACTGTTGCTTTGTTCACAGAAAATCGCACTTAAATTTTGACAGATTTGTGTTTCGATACATTAAATAATAATAACTTGCAATCGGACTTAACCGACTGAGCAATACTTTGATGATAGGTGAAAAACAGCTGAAAGCAGGAGAAAACGAGCCATATTTTAATATTAATGGTTTTAAAATTACGCCGGTTTATTGGCTTGACCTTCAAATTCCATCAGCAAAAGTAAGCAACTTTAAGAACTTTAATATCTTAATCTGTAGACATATTTTTTTTAATTTTGCAGAGCAAATTAAGGCGTTTCCGTTTCCGGTCCAAAGCATAAAACATGTTTATATAGGTTTGGGAATAGTTGGACCACTATTTAGGACTTTCTGAAATGTTTCAATTTGCACATCTCTAACAAAGTCAGTCAAAGCCAATACAATCTTTTCGTTTCTGAATCAGTGTATAACCATTTACTCCAATTCGTAATTGGAAATGTGAGAGCTGCGTGCAAGGTTTCAATAAAAGGCAGAAATTAAATTTATGCTTGGCACTTGAATTCATATGGGGGAGAAAATCGTTATCTTGTTAAAAGTTGTAACAATAGCACCACCTGCAAAGCTGGAAATCTGGAAGCCAAAGTAACCGTCTGCTCTCAGTTTCCTTTCAAGTATTGTTGTTGCGGACGCTCAGCTTTGCTCAATTACACCAAAAAATTGAAGTACCCAGTCATGATCTAGTCATAATCAATCAACCAAATTGATATGAATGCTACTCATCCGCCCTGTTGTCAGGAAATAACAGGTTTCAGATTGCTTTTGTGTAGCATGCTTTTTGAGCCAGAGCACAAATTGATGACAAATTACAGTTGTAATTCAAAAATAGAAACGATTAGGACATCATTTGGACGTATTTGAGACTTAACAGTAAATAAATGAATGGACTGGCCAACTTTGACTCTTTCGGACCATTAGGCACAAAGTATGCCAATCAAGTCAAGAGCGACAAGATTATAAATCACGCATTCGCCTCGTAGCCCAGCTGACAAATGTGTTGCAATTAAGATGACACTACGGCTAATGCGACAAAAACAACAACAATGACCAGAAAGTTTCAAAAAAGAAAAGCTCTTGCTGGGTACCACCCGCTGTTGCTGTCAATGGCAGCACTTACCACACCTGCCATACGACAGTTAATGGCCAAAACGTAGACGGCAACGCAGCACCTTCTGGTTATTGTATTGTTAACTGTGTTGAGGGCTTGCCAATATTTGAGCAGATACAATTAAATATGTATTTTGCCTGAGCTATTTACTTTGGCCCGGCCAACAAGCCTTTACAATTGTCGCTTTGATGTACCCATAACAGCTATTAATTGACAGCGCACAGTGGTAAAAAAAGAAGAAAAACAATAAAGAACACCCTAGAATAATTGACTTGGAGATGCGCTATTCCCAAGCCCTTACCTATCACAAGACGTACACATCTTAAACCCGTACATTCTTTGTATGTAACATTTTCCGTTGCCTGTCCGACCTTGTTGAAATTTGCACCGATTATGAATATTATATGGTATCGGTACTCGATATTTATCTCTGTTGGGGAAATGGAACGGAAGTTTTCGATAAAGTGAAGTAAACTTAATTTACGTATTGTATACGAAATTTAAAGTCTCTCTTAAGGCTTATGAGATCAGCGCGTTCATTCCTCATCAGCTGACTAAGAGTATAAACACTTTATGAAGCTGAAGATGATTTCGACTTCTTGTTACATCATTTGGGAAAACTTTAATATACCCAATTTATCTATTTTCAATGCTTCGGGGTATAAAGCAAAAGTGTGTCGAAAATAATATTAAGTAGTAATTGAAATTGCATTACTGTCATTAGCAGCTGGTGAATGTTGAGTTGAAGCTGTTCTTATTGAATTAAGCGCATGACAACAGCAGCAAAACTTTTGGCCAAAACGTAGAAGTTGAGGGGTGAAGGAAGAAATTGGGTTGTCGGGTCAGTTTAGGCCAAAAGTTTTGAAGCGGTGTCAAACTCAAACCGACAACAGTCTTCAGGTGTGTGTGTGAGTGTTTCAACGCTTGTTGCTTATGCAAATTGTGTTAAAGAACAAGAAGGGACGGTTGGCTTTGGCAAGCCGAATATTACTTACCCTTGCGAACCACCTGTTCATATCTGAGTGCATTATATATTGAACTGATTATAATAAATTGACTTTGGCTTAGATCTCATGCAGGTAAGTCCTATTCTTCTTACTAAAGAAATAGGATGTAGTATTTTGATTCAACCGATTATGCGCATAAATTTTATAACAAGTTTAAAATACCTTCAAAAAGTGTGCAGTAAATGGTAGAAACGAAAATAAGCGAATTTTGAGACCGGAAATTGTGAGCAGTATTTGTCTCTTTTGATGCCAACCAATTCAGTTTGCCAAAGAAACCGAAAAGGTTTTTTCTTATATCTTATTTTTGTTTTACTGAGCAAATGGCGTTGAAAGTGGCTGGCAGCAGCAGCTGCTTGAAAGGCCAAAAAGTTTGTTTTTTGTTTCTGTACTCGACCTTTATCCAGGCATTTATTTTTGTGTGGCCTGACAGCATATTAAACTGCAAACTCATGCCACTGCCACTGACTTGCATCAAACGTACTGCATCAAAAGCAACAAAGTGTTAAGTCCGAAGTGCTCGTATTGGAGTTTTAGTTATTTATTAGAACCAAATAACCAACAAAACAAAATACACAAACTTAATCAAAAGGACTCTCATCCTCTCATTTTCTCTTTGTATGTATATGAGTTGTTTTTTTTTTTGCAACTTAGCCTTTATGTGGGTTTGCCCAACCAACACCTGAAAACCATTTGCAACTTATCGATGTACAGTTGAAAGTTCGAACTTCCGTCTTCACATCTCCGGCGAAGCCTGTCGCCTGGATATCAGATAGCATCGGCCTAAAATATTATTTCAGCCGCAAACTTTGTACAAACAGGAGAATTGACTTGTTGCCCCATGAAAAAACATCATCAAAAACAAGCCGCTTTTTTGTATATGGCCCAATTAATGGTTCAAGCAGGTTGCAACCTTTTCCACTCGCGTGCGTCTCACTCTGAAAGAGGCAACGCGCAGAAAAGTATTCTACGAATTCTGCTGCCAGGCATTTTCCATTGTGCTACTGTTGCCGCATATATATCCACAAATAACCATGTTCTGTGGCATCTGTTGCTGCTGCAAATGTCTCTGCAGCTGTTGCTGAAATATGAATAAATTGTCACTGCCGTGAATGTCATGAGTAAAGAATGCTAAAATAAAACTGCCAGCTGCATTAAAGTGCCAACTTCTGTGATCTTAGTGGGGCGTGGCATCACTCAAGCAATGCTGCAGTTGCCTTTCTTTTTTCAAAGTCTGGTCATTGGGTTGTTTAAAGCTGATAAGCGAAAATTTGCTACTTATAAAAAGCTCATTATTGAATTTTGAACGGCTTTAATGCTCAGTTGAATGCAATTATCTAAAATTTCTCTACATAATCGCATTACATTTTAACTACATGATTTCGTGCAACATCGAGTGGTTGATGATGTAGCTGTTGTTGATGCTGCTCTTGTGGCTACTGTAGTTTTTGTTGCTTATATTGCTGCTATTGTTGCTGTTGCTCTTAATATTGAAGTTGGTGATGATGAATGTTTTGAATACTGCTGTTGTGGCACTGAAGTTTTCAATTACTTAAGATACTACTGCTAATATGGAAGTTGTTCATGTTGCCGTTGTCAATATACGTTTATTGATTTATACTTACTCATATAATAGAAAAACTATTACTGACATTATATGTATATGTAAAGCGACAGTATAGAAAAACTACAGAGAGTTTGCAAAGTTTCCTCTTGCTGACGCAATATTTTTCTATGTTTCTCGTATTGTAGACGAGTTGATGGTGCTGTTCATACTATCTGCTGCTGTTGTAGCTCTTGTTGATGGAGTTGTGGTTGATGCACTAATGCAATTACTAATATAGCTATTATGCTCCTTTGGCTGCTGTTATTGCCGTTGCAGGTTCTATCGACGTTATGGGTGCTAATGCTGTAATTGTAATTTTTACTGTCCTGGTTATTGCCGTTATGAATTTTACTATTAGTCTCCATACTGATGCTGCAGCTGCGGTTGCTTTTATTTTCGCTGCTCTTAGTCGTTGCTGTTGCTCATATCGTAGCTGATGTTGCTTTCATGATTGCTGCTGCTACTTTCAGTACCGCTTTCGTTGCTGTTGCCGTTGCTGGCAGCTGCAAGCAATCAATTCAATGAGCGATTGATCTGATGTCAAATGTTTTTCCACTTTATTTTGATTGATTTTTCTCTGGCTGCTTGAGCAGCACAACATTCTGTTGCTGATTTCTTTGGTACAATAGCAGCAAACGTGTGCTAAATATTTGGCACCAATAAATTGCTCAGTAGACAGCGTAAGTAATGACTGAAGTAAAGCTCACGAGTCGGCAAATTGAGCCTTAATACAGTATTAAAAGGGGGTGTAATAATAATTGCACAAAGAAAGGCATCAATGCTTTTACATATTCTGTTAAATTTAAGCAAGAAAGTAAAATATAATAAATAATTACTGTGACAATGCATTTCTTACTCAAGCTTTTTAAGCATGTGAAATTTTGAGCAGATTAAAAATATTTATTCGAAGCCAGTTTAATAATTTAGAAAATCCCATTTAAATATGTTTAATGGATTGTTAATACACTTATAATTATTTATATATTTTAAATTTTGCTTATTTTTTTATTATTGCACTTTTGATTTCTTTGTATAGCCGTAAACACATTTTTTGTGGAATTGCTCATATTTCTCACTTCCGTCTCTTTAGCAAAAGTTAGTATATAGGTTCGAGATATAGTCGTTAGTAACACAGTCTCAACTAAAGGTCATTCTAATTTCTTTTACTCGGACTTTGTCCTTAAAGGCGCATTGGCAATTGCCACTTGCAACATAGCTTGCAACACGGGCGAGCCAGCTGCGTCCTTTTATTTTATTATATATACATATAACAACAGATCTAAAGAAAGTGCGGACATCGTATTTCATTGGCTGCTTGGTGAAAATTGTTTCTTAAATGTTAACTGGGGGCGCTTCAGCTTGTCAGCAGCAGCCTCGAAGCCTCCACGTGAAACTCAACGGAAACTTTCTCCCATAATCTCTGGGCACCAATGACATGCTTTTGGCCAGAGAGCAAATATTTAATTAGCTATAATACGAGCTGCGCCCCAGGGAATGTCTGGCAGTCTGACAGTTAGTTAGTCAGTTAGTCAGCCAGTCAGCCAGTCAGGCGACTGCTACATCCTGTACTGGCAGCGGCCCAGGCACATTTTCGAGCAAGTGAAGCGTGAAACCTCATCGAAAGAATTTCATTCTGAGGCTGAAGATTAAAGAGAATTCCCCAAATGACTTGCCAACTACTACTACGCAAGCTATGCCAAAGTCCATGCTTTAATGAGAGGATTCTTATCCATAAATATGCGAGTCGAAGGATAATTAAAATGGATTTCTCTAGAAGTGTCATAAATCACTGCCTACATTTGAGCTCTATTAATAAAGTTCAGCCAGCTTGCAAAAAAAAGAAGCACAGAAAAATAACATCAAAATGGGAAAGATGAAAAAATAGTAGAAAAGTATTTTTGTATTCATGAAAATGTGTAAATTTGTGGTTAGTCTTTTAGACTTGAATTTATTTACAAATTTCTTGGAAATAGGTAATAAATTGACATAGCCATTTTTTTATGTCCTAATCCACACGACTTTTGCTTTTGTAGCTCACAGATACTTTTATGTAAATCAGATAAAATCTTTTGACTATCTATGAAAAATATTAACAACATACAAGAAACAATCAAATATATTATTAATTATATTATTAATTTCCTTGAGTAAACTCTAGTCTATATTTGCTTATTTTATTATTTAACCAATACCAAAAAGCTTCTACAATTTTTCCTGCATATTTATTGAATATTTAGCGGCTGTTTTCCCCTTTTTTTATAGATTCGATTTTTATTTTGAATTGGCTTAGATTGCGCGTCATGGAACACAGACAATTATTTTGCCAACTGTTTATGTTGGCCTGTGCCTTTGTGGCAACACTTTTTTGGCGTCAATTTGTGTTACTTGCCGCACGGCTGACCTTCAACATGATTTCAGCTGCCAGCGGTAGTCGAGTGGGTAATGTGACTCACTTTTGATTATGCGGCAAGCCAAATTATGCTCTACGGTCCGCACTTAATTAAAGCGGCAGCAAAAATGTAATGTACCCTCAACAGGCGGCAGCAATTTGAGCGTCTAAGCGACTTTTAATTGAGTTTCATTTCAAACTCGTAATGTGCGCCAAGTTTTTAAGGACGCACAATTTGGTTAATTAAAACGCTACAATTGGCGTTGGCATTTTTGTGGCAATTGCCAGTGGTTATCTTTGCTTTGGGTCCTTGCAATACACTCTCAAACTCGAGTGTTTGGTTCTTAGGTGTGTGGCATTGTCAGGTGGCAAGTGATTCCTTGTCACTTACAGGTAACTGTGCTGCAAAGTGCCAAAACTTGTGCACTTAATCAAGTACGTTACGTCTGGTGGATGCTGTCAGGCTGTGCCACGTATTAGCTAGACGCGACGCCAAACTGTAACATATACAACTCAATTTGCAAATTTTGTGGCACAATGTGTAAAATCTATATATATTGCAGGCGATTTGCATAAAAAACTTTGCAATTACCTCATAGCATTTGAAATGCCAAAATCCACGTGGCCACACAATAAATGTTTATGCTGCCGTCCAATTTTAGCATTATTGTTTTTGCTACCGTTTTGCTACCGTAGCCTTAAAGTGCCCTCAACTTTGACTTTGTGGCTATTGGTCGGTCATGTGAGCCCAAATACTCGCCTTACGTTAAGTACACATGAGAGTTTAGTTGAAGTGCACATTGTTTTTATCGTTATTGTTAGTAGTACTACTCGCTTGTGCTTAACATCCAGCTTTAATTTAGCTAGCTGGTCAACAAAAACCATGCAATGCATATATTGTAAAAAGGATGCTTATTAAATATTTATGCACTTCATGTGGCTTTTGCTAGTGGCAATCTCGTGTTTTGCATTCATATTTCCCTTACAACCCCTTTGCTCGCCCGCTCTCTGACTACATTGCACACTATACATATATATGTATGTACAAACAAAACAACAAATTGGATAAAACGGCAGCAGAAAACATTTTTGGACCTTTAAAATGTAGTACATTTCTTATCAGCTGAAACACTCGTTTTATTTCAGTTATTTCCTGCTTTATGCATACATTTAGCACAGGAACTTGAGCTACTGTAGATAGCAATTTGGGTATGTACTTAGAATAATGTTTATAACTCCTAAATATTTAGTGTTTTACATTTAAAGTTCATTCAGCGGAGATAAAAGTAAATAAATAAACTGTAGTTTGCCAATTTGCTTTTTAAATTATATTTAAATTTTCTGTACGTTTACAATCCAATAAAATTATGGTTATCTTTAGGGTATCTCCATGTCTAGCACTCCATAAATTTCGTCAGCGCTCAACTCATGCAATATTTATAGGCACTGGAATTTTATTGTGCATTGCAATGCATTTTTATGACTTCTGCCCCGCTGAAATGGTTTATTCATCAAGACTCAGCCGTCAACTCGTGGATTGTAACATGCCAGCTTACTTGTTAACTGCAGCCGTTGTCATGTAACCGTTAATATGGCATTTGTACTGTAGTGTACCCAAAATTAATGAACTTTTATTAAAGCTGACTTACTCTGATCGTGCACCCAATTAGCAATGAGCAGACACAAAAAACCGCAAGGAAAAAATTGTTGTGTCAAGAATTTTGGCCAAAAACCTTTTGGGACGATATGATAGCTTCTTTAAATTTGTTTTGAGCTGCACTTCAAACTTGTTGATGCGACATACAACAATTTTAATGGTTGCCAGAACCCCTGAGCAAACGTCGCAAAAATGCAATTAAGAAAAAAATAATTTTCATCTTAAAGTTGTTGTTGTTGTTGGCATTGTCGCTGTTGCTGTGCGCAACAATATTGCTTTGATGTGCACACCTTACTTCTTGTCCTATCTTGCCCCATTAATTTATGAATATAAAGGAATTAAATTTTACATTTTCATTATGCCATATAGCAACACCATGGACCTTAAGCATTATACTTGTTGCCAAGAAAGAACACAATAATACTTATAATTGAATACACTCAAGTAAATAGATCATTTATTAGTTTTTCAAGTGTTGTGTAACATTTAAATTTTATACATACATATATACACAATAGATTTCTTAAGGTAGCGCTCGCACAGAATTCAGTTTAAAGCTTAAAACACTTACAACATCCAACAGCTTAAATGTTTTGGTGGCTATCTTTATTATTTTATACATAAAACTACATACAGCTATGCATAAATAGAAAATAATTGTTAACTTATGATCTTCAGCTCAACATTGTGAAATGTTTTGGGAGGGGAAAATTGAAATAAAAATTCAGTTCAGTCTCTTAGGATGCTTGCAACTTTCTTGCCATTTGCTAAAATCTTGACTACTAGTTGTTCAATAGACAATTTCATCAATATTAACAACAACATCAATACCAATACCAATACCAATACCTAGGGAACTAACAAATGTAAAAGCTAGATTGTGTGCGTATGTGTGTGTGTGGGTGTGTCGGTGTGTGAGTATCTTCTTAGACGGAATTTTCCTCAAGTCCCTGCTGAAAACGAATACAATCTTAGCCATGGATAAAATAGACTATTAAAATCTTAGTTACCTTCATTAAAGGACTGATAGCTCTGGGCATCACGCTGAGCGTGCTGCCAGTTCCAGCATTATTGGCTATGGGCAACATGTGCAATGCATTGTTGGAGCCGCGATGCAGCGACAGTGGTGCATGATGACCCACCAGCGTTGTGGTTGTAGCCGAAGACACGCACGACTCCCGCTTGCCACGTCCATAATACGATGTTAATGGCCTGATTGTAAATAGTAAACTTAATACAAACGGGAACTTTGCTTTTCATAGGGTTGTAAATTGTACTTTCATTGGTTTACAGTAAGAAGAAAAAGTTGAGTAACTTAGCAAAGTGGAAAATTTGAATAATAATATAACAAATGTTTGAATTAAACGCTATAGAAAAAAACTTAACCTAAAACTTAAACTAAAAATAAATCATTAATCATTTAAATCATACATACAAAAATAAGGTTTGGTATTTTTGCTGAAAGCATGAAATTTCTTAGACTAAAAGAAAATGCGTCAAATGGGAACTACAAAATAACTATTTTAAGAAAATCATAATCTCGTTATAAAATCTGATTGGTAGTTACTGCTTTAAGTGACGCATTTATCAAAGTCACTGCCTTTTTACAAAACAGGTGCGTGTAATTAATACTGAAAAATTGCTAGATAGTTTTTCACTTACCGCATGCTTTCAGCTCGTGGGGAGCCGCCACCCTTGCTAAAACTTTTTGTAGTATATCTGCCAAGTGGTTCGGTGAGAAGACGGAGTTTTACAAAACGTGCAATTGTATTAAGGGCTAGAGAGTCTGAATAGTTGGCACTAACTATCTGAAACTTTCACTCACCGTCGGTTCTGGTTACGTTGAATGTTGCGCGAGTCGCGCCAGGTGTTAACATGATGTCTCAGTGCATTACGTACCTCAGAGTTGAGAAAGCAGTAGAAAAGCGACACCCAAAAGCCCTGTCAAAGAAAACAGCAAATATTTGCACTGGGCGAAAACGTAAATGCAAAAAAAGCACTATCTAAACAAAACTTGCCTGTGTGCTGAGCAGCACAGCCCGAAGAACGGCAAACATGTGACCCATTAAACCCGATTCGGAGGGACCAGCCAGCACAACCAGATAGGTGATGCCAAAGAGCGGAATGAGCACAAGCAGCGCCTTGGCCGCCTTGCGATACTGACGCGTCTCCACAGTGTTCGCCGAGCGAAGCTTGGTAATAAGCACCTAACATCCAGGGAAACTGTAGCGCAAGGCATTTAATTTGTGACGGGACTTAATAGGACTCACCCACATGATGCGCAGCAGGAATGTCAGATTGATAATGAGCACCGCACAAACAGGTCCCTGGAAAATCCAATCCACGTTCGTCTCCTCCATCCAGGGACAGTTGATGTCATACTAGCGCGTGAATTAAAGGTTTTGATGAGTCCAAGCTATGTGGGGTCCTCTTTACTGTCATTTGCTTACCTTCTCCATATAATTGGTGTAGTTAACCGTTAGACCCTTCGCTACCGCCCAAGTCACCACAAACAGTGCCGGTCCACCTGCCAAACAACGGGGCAACTTAATTAGCCGTACAAATCGCACATGCAGTTTCAACTTACCCCAGCCAATGGAAACATATATATTGAAGCGTATATTATCGCCGGAGAAGGTCTTAACTACAAGCATGTACAAATACAGGCCCTCCACCAGCATCCAAAAGAAATTGGTCAGCGTGAAGAAGTGAAAGAGTGTGACGAGAGCAATGCAGCTGCTCAGGCCACTGCGAATGGATATCTGCAGGGACGATAGATGAAAACAGCCCGAGGTTGCAGTAGAAAATGGTGAGTGCGCAACTAGGGTATACCCTATAAGCAGCGCTTTCAGCCATTTAAATTTTTTACAAAATAATAAAAAGAACGTTGACCCTCAAATTTGTAATTTTTCATGCTTAAAATTCAATGTCATAAGCGAAGTTTTTAAAAAGTAAAATAATTTAGATACCTATCCCTAAAGCGCCCCGCCTAAAGTCGGCGGTTCGACAATATTTATTTATATGTTCATCAATATCTTTTCATCTGGTTGATAAAACAGAAAATCAACTTGTTCAGCATATATATACATAAGTACAAAGTGCTGCTTCTCCTCCAGCTTCTGCAAATTTGACAACTTTATGATGCTGACTCACGCATAAAGTTTGCAAGTATAAAAAAAAAAACAAACAAACAAACAAAAGCAACCAGAGTACTGAGCACTGAGAGCACGTCTCACCTGCACGGACAGCAGGAGTATCCAGAAAAAAGCCGACATGATGTACGTGAAGAACAAATTGGCGTGGATGGTGTTGCGCAGACAACGCAGCTCTCTGCAACAGGAACGGGAAATAAAAGAATATAAAGTATTTTTTAGTCTGGCTACACACTCACTTGTAGTAGGCGAAAACAATCAGCGCCAGCGTCAGCGACACAAGGCTTAAAGCATAGCCAATGTAATAGATGATAGTCGGCAGCTCCACAATGGTCTCGAACTCCGGCACCATCTCCGGCGCTGGCAAATGGGCGCAGGCATCGTAGTTGGTATACTGAGCCCAAGTGCCATTTAGATGGCAGAACCGCGTTGCGTTCTCTGCACCCACGGACACAGGTAAATGAAAGGGAAGATGAAAGTACAGCTAGCTGGTTGAGAAGGTCAAAGGTCTTTTCACTTACTGCTGCTGTCGTAGTGTATGCCCTGTAATTCATCCATACACTGGAGCACGGCCAAGGTGCCTCGTGCGGTGCGCGGCCAGCAGAGTATTGAATCGAACTGGGTGAGGCAATGGTCTGTAGCATTGCCATAAGTCGTTGCATCCACATGTTGCTGCAGCAGGCAGTTCAGCTCAACGCTTTGATTGATGTCATCCAAATTGCTGAGGGACCAGAGACCCTCATTAGCGCTGCTATTTGATGATTCACCACCTATGGTAATGTCCTTGTTGTTGTTGTTATTGTTAGACATTGTTGCTGCTACTGCAGCTGCTGTTTCTGCTACTCTTTTGGCAGTGGGCGTATCACGCTTGATGTGTCCCTTCCATGCTGCCCCTGTAGATGAAACTTTATTTATACTAAGAAAAAATATCGAACTAAGAGATACAATTTTTTGTGAATCAATTTTAAAAAAAAGGTAATCTTTAAATTTAAAGTAACTTTAATTCGAAAACTAACGTTGTGTCTAAGTCAATAGTTCAAAGAAAATTTGAGGGACCCAAAAAATTAAGTTAAAGGCATTTTCTACTTCAAATTAAACATTTTTCCATCCTTAGAAGTAAGAATGAACTATTTTAAATGATTTAATTAAACTAATTAATGAATTTTTTTTAATCATGACAATTTAAGGTTTTTGTGTTCGATTTCCAGCACTAATATCATTCCGTTAAGATTTTACTGTAATAATTATTATTACATTCGCATAAAATTTATTGAAATAAATATTTTTTAGAAAAGAACAATTAAAAAATGATGGTGAAATCAGCTTTCTCTTCCAATCTAACATAACACTTCCAATTGTTTACCTTTAAAATTATTTTTTTAATTAAAATTGATATTTTAAAAATATGATTTTTGCACTGCTGCACAATGCTGCCCATAACTCTTGAAATTGCTCTGTCTTTTCTCTAGCAAACATTTGAAAAATCCCAAATGGCTAAGAAAACACTTTTCAATGTGTCAACTGAAGAAGTGTGTACATGTTTGTGGCAACAATTGAGGGAGTCTGTCCCCGGCAATTCAGCCCGGAATCTAACAAGCTACTGGCAACCGCAACTTGTGGCATGATGTATTCTCCTCTCTCGTTATTTGTATTCTCTGTGTGTGCGTGGGTTAATTGCATGGGGCAAGCCGCAGGCAAACAACGATACCAGTGAAATGCCTTCTTCTGCTATAAGGGCAACAGTTTAAAGCGCAATAAAATCAATGTGGAAAATTGCACTTTATACCCAGCGGCTTTAAGCTACACCCCAGCTCCCATTTGCCTGATTTATTAATATAACTGGGGCGCCACAGCATCTATAAAAATTCATTAGCTTCCACAAAACTTGGGCGTCAACGACTGGCATACAGGCAGTTGGCAATCCACGTGTCGGGCTTCAAAAGGCCAAAGACAAAAAAAGGTGGCCTACAACATGTAATATAAATTAGCGGTTATGCAGGCAGCAAGGGACGTGGCCTCAAGGAAGGGGTGTGGGCGTTGTGGCATAACCTTCAAGTCAGCAGGACCCAAATCTTGCATTTATATTCTGATAATAAATGGCATAAATGATGCATCGTTACATTAATGCATGGCATAAAAGCAACCGCGCAAATATCCACAAACACACATAAACAGATAATAAATATGTAGATGCTGTGCCCAACGAAGCGTGCAATACAGTGGATGAGTATCGTATGCGAACAGGAAGTGAATGTGATGTTTGATATGTACGTCGAGCCCAAAAGGGTTCTCAATTTATAGTTTGCCTTCATATATACATTAGGTAGCAAAGGGAAAGAAAACCTTTATAGATAGCTAGAAATTATTTATGCATTAGCTGGAATAAAAAATACAACTCTAAGTGGATTGATTCATGACAAGCCCCAATTTATAAATATTTCAACAAACGTTTTGCTTGCTAACTAAAAATATGCAAATCTGAATATTTTATAAAAGCACTTTAATAAAAAGCAAAATTAAATTTTTATATTTTGACTAACGACAAACCAAAAGCATTAAAAGGGTATAGCTATAATTTCAAATGCTATATATAAATATTTTGTATTAGAACAAAAGATACGCAGTTCTTTTGCACATAGTCCGTCTTACTTTGTGAGATCGCTCTACTTTTCCGCCCCACTGTGTGCTACGCCTCATAATTCTACTGTTTTCTTTTTGTTGCATAGCTCGTAAATTAGCGCAACATAAAACAGCCGACTATATTATTTCTGCACATGCCTCGAGTATATTTATTTTCAGCACGGCCCTGCGCATTCATTAGGCACGTTAGCTATTGTTTTTGCCAACTGCAATTGTGGCTTATTGCTAACAAAAGGAAAAGGCGTGCAATAACAAAACAGTTAATTTTCAATCCTCAATTTTACAACACAAAATGAAGAGCAAAATTGAAAATGTGGAGCATCTAATTGCTTCATAAATAATGTGAAACTGGCAGGCTGAACCAAGGAAAATAATAAAGTAAATTAAAATTAATATGCAAATATGCTTGCTAATTGCATATTTGATTTCAATTAGCCGCAACGGGCGACGAGACATCAAAATGTCTTGCTCAATTCATCGGGCGTAAATGCAAATTTGGGTTGACAGCTCAGCAAAGAGAAAATCCACACACACACACACACACACACACACACACAAGCATACACTAACCCAAATACATATAGGGAAATGAAATGTGTTCATCTGACAATCTCATTTAAGGCGTTCACAACTTGATGAATGTCCGGCTGGCAACATAACATATTTTCAACTTGCCCAAATCAACGCAAATATAAAAAGCACATTACGAGAATTGCCTTTGGCTGCCAAAAATACAAGAATAAGCAAACTATAAATGTTGTGTGCAAAAGACTTACTGACTGACAGATATCCTTTATATTATAACTTCAAAATAGTATTAATCACCAAACGGGGCATATTTTAAACAACTTTCGCTTTTATTATCCGCTGCCTCCGAGCCGGAAGGCCTTACAGTTATTAAAACAAAACTGAGTTCATAAAATAAAAACCAAATGACGCCAAGAATAACAAGTTTGTCATTAAAGCTATGGCAATAAATAGTTGATTTTTAATCAATTTAAGAGATTGTGGATGGCGATTTTTGAAATTTAAATTAAATTCTGTTCTGCCAACGTAACTAGAGCTCGCTAGCTACACTGTACTCATTAATTGAAGTGAATCCTTTAACCACTTGAAACTATAGTTGACAGATATATTCTTCCTTCTGGTTTCTATAATAATAATAACCTACTTTCCAATTAGCTGCGTATAGGGTATGGAAAGAACACAGTTCTATGTGAACAAATGAAATGCACACAAAAACACAAGCACTGCAAATGGCCTGAGCAGATGGAGATATAACGCTTACTTATTTGCTGTCGGATCCTTCTTTGCCCTGTTTTCCCCCATATACAGTTCTCTCAATACCATACCCATTCGGCGTATATGCTATTATAGAAGATTGTATCTAATCTCGTGCGATTGCACACAATGGATTTGCCAAAGGCGCTGGCGACAACAGACACACACACACACACACACACACTCGAAGCTGTTTAGTGTGGGTGTGTTTATATTAGAATGCCTGTGTGTGTGCCTGTGTGTGTGTGTGTGTCGAACGAATTCCTGCGGCTGACTGAGTACCAGAGTATACGAAATGCTGAACGCTCGTACCTCAAGCTCTGCATTTACTTCCATGTGCGAGTGTTTGCAATTTCCGGTTGTTGCTCTAATGCTTATAAATGTTTTTCTTGCCCGCTAACTGCTGGTATCGATGTTGTTGATGTTGCTGCTGTTGCTGCTGCAGCATCGCGTAATTGTCGGGCATTCCAATATAGAATTGAAAACATAATAATATTAATAATAATAATAATAACAATCACATGAGAGGGAAACCCACAATGGTGCAATATTTCTGCAATTTGTGGCATACAGCATTAAATGGCTGCAACAAAGTTGGGCTTGCCTCGCCTGCCTGTGACATGCGTGGAAGCTTTATGTTTGTGTTGAAGACATTTTCACTATCAATGGCAGAAGATAATAAAGTGCGAGGACAACGTGAGGACAACTAGAGGACGTGTGCACAACAAAAGGCCAGCGCAGCTTGATTGCTATTTTTAGGTGTCGTTGCTCCGTTTCAGCTCTCATTATTGTGGCTCATTAAATTTTATATGCATAAACAAAATACACAAAGAATGGCGAAACAATGATGCCGAGCCATATTTAAAATTTTATGAGAAAATGTTGCGCATACGACGCGTGCGCCCGTGTACATCACTTAAAAGCACCCACATTACAACACTCTTATTAAATTTGCAACGAAATGCTGAACATATTTTAATCCTAAATATGTTTAATATTTATAGAAGTATTTCAACACTTTACGATTCTTGATGACTTAATAGCTATCGGATTTGGGTAAAAATCTACATTTTTCCGTTTACTACACATATAAATTATATATATTAATGGGTGCCTTACAAGCTATCTAGTTCTTTTGCAAATCTCAATTTTTTAAAAATGTTCAGTTAATTCACCTATAAAATGTATACATTCACAATGGACCGATTAAAACTATCGAGGACTTCTACAATTTAAAAAATTTTGATAAACATTGAAAATAGAACAACTGAAATACTCAACTTTCAAATACACTTTTTAATGCTTTTTGCTTTTAATATTTTCTTTAATCCACTTTTTTTTCAAGCTAAAAAAATAAGTACATATTAAACTCTGTCTTGTCGAGACAGCTTAACTAAGAGATACCCTGATCCTCTGAGATCAATAGAATGACAGACGGATATGGCTAAATGAACTTGGTTGTGGATTCTGATTAAGAATGTATATATAAATACTATATGGGGTTGGACATGCTGAATTCTCTCTGTTATATACTTTTGTACAACTTAATTATACCCTTTTCCTTTTGTTTATATGTACAGGGTGTAAATTAAAAATATGGTATACAACTATGTACAAAAGTCAAAAGTTTTGATTGCCTTCCATTCCGATAAATGACGAAAGTATTGTGAATGTTTACTATCGCAGAAACATATGAGCTCCTGCACTGATACGACTCCCATCGGCCCAATCTGCGAAATACATTAATCCTCACAATATATGTGCATAGATCGGCTTGGACATAAGAGTTTTATTGGCAAATGTTTTCACCGTTTTTATGCTCCCACTGGCGGCAATGAAATTTGACGGTGGACCAACAATGCAAAGGTCCGAATTTAAGGCAAAGATTTAAATACATAAAATACCCTGAGCGGATGCGGTGTGTGTGTATGTGCGTGTAAGTATGTGTTTGTGTGACTAAGAAATTAAAGACGCTCCTCTAGCCAACATAGAAGACCATAATTTGCAGACACTTCCGCCTTTGTCTCGGTGCTTGAGGGCCTCCCACACCTGTTTGGGGATAAGCGCCACCTTTTGGCTGTTATCCAAAACTTGATGGCCCCCATTTGGAGCAGGATCAGGAGCCATTGCCAACAAGTGTTGCGTTTTATTGTCCCTCCATTAATGGTTTTCCGTTTCGTTTGACTCTTGGCGGTACGTGCAGCAATAAAGCAACAAAAAGCAAAATGGCACGCGCTGCAGCTACTTGAGTGCTCGAGAGAATGTGGAATGATGGCTGTGGCTTTCTGTGGAGTTTTGTTGCTAACAAGCTAAGGATTTGCTTGCGAGTGCTTGCTTGCATAAATTCATAAAAATTCGCACGACAAAAGCTAATAAAGAGAAACAGAAAGCAACAGCAGCAAACAAAAAACGCAAACAAACAAAAAGTCTGCGAAATCTGTTATTTATTGGGTCAATAAAAATTTGGTTTAATGCATTGCAAGTTTTGGCCAAATATGCCCGAGATTAACCATGCGATTTACGATGCACTGGTGTTGAAAGTTGGGGCTTAAGTGTGTGCTTCATTATGGGGTTGAAGTACCAACCGAAGTTCATAAAATACAATAGAATAGAATAGTAGAAGCATACTATGCGAAGCCTAAAAGTAGGCAACAAGTTATCCTTAATTGGCTGCCATTGTTACGGATGATAACAACAAGAATGATATTAACATATTAGCTTCCATTATAACTTGAGGCTGTTGCTATGGATATCGGATATCCACATCTAATGGAGTTCTCAACAATCGATATTGCACTGGGTGTGCACACACCCAATTACACACACACACACATACACATATATATATATATATATACAGAGTATATAGCCAATTGCCAATCCTTCTATTCAGCTTCATCCTCTTTCATTGTAATGCATGCCATTGTGTGTGTTCCTTTGGGCGTGTATAGAATTCTGCTTGGCTTTTTAATTAAATCCACAAACAGTAGATGATTTTTTGCTTTCTATGCTACACACAAATACACACACACAAACACACCCATTGCACCTACATACCTCTAATTTACGGCGGGCGTGTTAATTGAGGACAGAGTGGCTGCAGTCCTCAACGCTTTTAGTGGTTGTTATTGTTGGCCTAAGCAAACAGAAGATTTTTCATTTGACCGTAGTTTTGCCAAATGGTTTTAGGTATCCTTTTGTCTTGCCACTTATTTGCGCCGGCTTAAATGTATTTAACGCCTTCTAAGCCGCAAAATGATTATACTTAAGCGATTTTCTCGGTTTTCCTCGCTATTTCGTTGTCTTGGTTATAGCAACACACACACACACACACACACACACACACACACATGCACTACTTATGGTTTTCATTTACGCATTTTAATGCTGGATTATTTGCCATGGCATTCCACTTATGATATACGCAAATTGTGAGAAATCGCATTAAATCATTTGAATTCCGGATGAACGTATATAATATTTAAGGCGATTATGTTGAAAATCTTCAAAACAAATTTAAGCACTTTTATTTAAACACGTCGAACAATTACACACTTTTATTCAACTATTTATTTAGCACACATCTAGTTTCAATTAAAAAATATCGTTGCGTTTTCAAGTGGAATTCAGTTGGGATTTAATTGTGTTTGCTTTGGATATACTTTCTGCAGGCGCTGCTCGAACCGCACTCGCTCACATGCCGCTGATAACTAAAAGTATCCTTTGGGCGCTTCTTAACAAGCACCCGGAATGAACGAATAAGTTCTTACCACTTTTGCTTCGGCAAAATGGCGCGAAACGTTTACGTTCCACAAAAAAAGCTTTGCCAAAAGCTGCGTTCCACACATGCGAAAGGCGGCTGCTGTTTCAGGGCCTCTTTCAACCTCTCTGTGTCAACCAACAGGTGTGTTTGTTCTCTCTCTGTATTAGTGCGTTGCGAATTTTCTGAATTATTCTCAGGAAATGCAATCTTTTTTGGCACGTCTAAACGCCTGCAAATCCGCTCATTTAATTCATGCAAATATTTGTCGTCTCAATGTTTATGCAGCATTTGCTGCCCTTTTCAGTTGGGAGGTATTTGCTCAGGTGAAGGGCTGCCGCCAATCGTCCCAAATATGCTGGCAGACTGATTTAATTTTGAGGTCGCTTTGAAGATGAGCCACAGTTCAGCTCTAACGCACAGTTCAGCTCTAATCATATTAAACTCAAGTGAGGCTCATGTCGACATTTATTAAAATCACAATATGCGGCCAGGTGCTTCAACTTCACACTGCCGGAAAGCATACGGAAATTGAAAATAAAAACACTCACGCACAACCAAAAAATCAGCGAAAACAAAGCTCTGTCACCCCTATACACACACACACACATATATATATATATATATATATATATATATACTCACACAGACAAATACACCTAAACACACTCTCTGGTATTTATATAAAAAAGCCGACATGGAGCCTACTGATAATAACACAATGACAAACATTTAAGCCCCCAACGGCTTTGGATTGAGTGCGTCTGACACATTCGGCGAATCGGTTTAACAGCCCTAAAAATTGAAATGAAAAAATCAACATTCTCAACAAATAAATGCTAATGTCAACTGGCACTCGAGAGCATTTAAATTCCATTTGAAAAATTCATTGCCAGGAGCAAAGACATGTTCGCCGTAAATGTCCTGTTGCCGTTGCGTGCCTTGTGTACGCATGTCCTAATTCATATTAAAGCGCTCATCCACATCTTCAGATCATATAAGACATTCTCAATTCAATTCACAATTGAATTTAACGCCCAACATTTTATATCGAAGCAAGCTATAAAAGTGATTTCCAAGTTTATATACTGAAAAGGCTTTGATAGCGCGTCCTATGAATTGATTGCTAAGACATACAGTGGCAAAAGTTTTTCAATTTTCCCCACAACCAGCTGGGAAAACTCTCATAGCTAACTGTTTTCGCATTGTTCAAAGAGTTGACTGCGATGTGTTGCTAGCCAAGAAGTATTTGAATTGTCTATTATTGTACTTTAACTTGGCAGTTCGTTTGTGGCAAGCAGCTCACATTTTTGTACCATGCATGTGTAAAATGCAACCAATTCTATACAAATTTAAGGTCTTTAATCTCATAGTCTCAGATCCTTAAACACACGTAGCTCAGTTTACAACACAAAAAAGAAAAAATCATCAACGTTTGGCTTAGCGGTTAAGAGCATGTGACACAGAAACCGAACGAGGATGAAGATGACAACGGAGATGACGATGATGAAGTTAAACAATGACAATGCCCTGTGATAAGTAAGTTGACAGCGAAGTGGGTGACGAAAGAGCTAACCAACAAGAAGAACAGCAACAACTAGTACAACAACAGCAACAGCAACCACAGCAATCTTATTACCCGGTTTACTCATGCATGCTTGCACTAACTTCATTTCAAGGCTGCAACGGTGCTGCCAACTGCCAACTGCCAAACTGAACTGTGTGACGTGCTGATATCACAACTTGAGTCTTTTTAAATTATATGCTTCACTAATTATCTAGAATCAATTGTTTAGCTGCAGCTTCAAACGGTTAGATAAGTCCACTGACAGTGCTTTCCAAAAGTATATATAACTAAAACGCTAATCTTTTTAAATATAACTGTGTCTCCTTACAGCTATAAAGTTATCTGCGATCTGAAGTGTTCATTAAAGGAATGGTATGAAACAATTTTAACATGTAAGGCAAAGTTTGTTTGGAAAGCACTCAACTAGAATATTGTCATAATACATTGGCAGGCCGGCAACATTTTAATTCGGTTAGCTACTTGAAAGTCGGACTCTTAAATAAAACGACATGAGTTCAATTTATAACTTTATCGCAACAATGCGGATTTCGACTATATTGTCACCTGACTTGTCTTCTGAAATATTTATAAATTAAGTTTGGGAACACTATTTGTTTCCAAATGTTCTATCATAAGAAAGTCTCCCAATATGTTAATTACAAAATTTTTAGATCTTGACGAAATCGATCCTCTAGATTGATAAGCAATGTCATTTTAAGAACTTTACGAAATCTATGTTCTAGATTGATAAGCAATGTCATATACATATAGGATTATTCACTTGCCACTGCTTCTCTTTCGAAACTACTACGTGAACTTTCCACATAATCTTAATATTTCTGTTAGAAGAGTATAAGAAAACTCAACGAAAAATGCATAAATAATTAAACAAAACAATTAATAAATGTATAAATATTATATATCAACTAACCACAATGCAATACAGTCAGATTCGATTAGATCTAAACATGGTTAATCGGCACTGGCTACCTAAATACGCAGAGAGTATGATTCAATGAATATGTTCATCGACTGCTTGAACTCATTTAGTTTCAGGTATTTCCCCCATATAAACTGACTGTTTACCATAGCCTGGTCACGCACTGGCAGTCGGGTGGCGGGGTGAAAGTAGTTCTCATATCAGTCGACGCACTCGATCCATCTGCTCTTCACATTGTTGGATGTGTCACCTTCAACTGACGCATTGGACCAAAGGCCGTAGTTTGTTTTCATTACGTTAACGTTGACTACAAGCTAATTAGAATATGTTATTTAGTTCGGCTATATAAAGTGTCGATTTACTGGCCCAAAAATTTTATTCTTTTGCCACACTTCAATAAAATATAAAGTCGCGGGAAAATGCGGCCAACGAGTTTTAAGTGGTTTGCATTGTTAATGGTAAATAAATACGCCTTAAGCCTTTTGGTATTTTTTTTATATATTTATTTATTTATTTATGTGCAGCTGTCGGAGTTGAAGTGTTACGCCCATGGCGCCTACAATTGTTCTTCGCCGCCGAACTTTAACAATTTCGTAAGTATATTCTGATTCACTCGATTGTCCATTATAAGCGCCTGAATAATGAATGACTTCTGCAACGTTTGGCAGGATGTGAACTCTTGCTGCCGCACGCCGGAAATCAATCTGGGCAACGTGCCACAAAAATGCCAGAAGTACGTAAATCAACTGAAGTCCGCCAATCAGAAATTTCCAGCATTTGCGCATCTGGTAAGCGAATACAAATGTCAACTGTGCACGCTTAAGTATTTGATTTTCCGATCCGATTCATTCCAAAGTGCTATCCGGAGTGCATATATAGAGAAACGGGCGCCTTGGTCAATGGCAGGCTCCAAATGGACAAGGTACGAGAGTATCTGGAGGAGCATGTGCATCGCCGGGATCATGAAGTGGTGCCCCATATTGTGCGCTCATTTGAGACTTGCCGCAACAACAGTGCGTATGCCTAATATGGTTATTATAAGTCATCATATCAGACCCCATTTCAATTGCAGTTCATGGCCACATGAAGTCCGCTAGGATCGAATCGTATAAGGTTCTCACCCAGGGCTGTTCGCCCTATGCGGCCATGCTCTACAGCTGCGTCAATGCGGAGACTTTCCTCAACTGTCCCGCCAAGTTGTGGAAGTCGGATGAGCACTGCCTCGTGGCCAAACAATTTGCAGAGCAATGTAATCCGCTGCCTCACGTTCCATTGCCCATGAGCTGAGCTCAATTAAGCTAGTTACAAAATATTTTGTTATTACACTTTTTTGTGGCCTTATTAAATAAAAAACAAAAATCAGAGATTTTTTGCATTTGATTTCATAATTGCGTATGGCTTAAATCTGATGACCATGGCTAAATCGTCACTAAATGACCCATGACAAAATGCTTGGCTAATGGGGATTGGTACTCAGCAGTCATTCAAGGTTCAGTTGGCAACGAGCATTGTTTAAGCCAGATTTTCTCTCTATTTAGAATGAATAATTCAGTTATATTTGTAATTAACTGTCTGCTGATAGCGAGCAGTGTGCGGGCAGCCATTGAGGATTTTATGATAGAAGTCGAACCAGAAGCGAATATGGTAAATTTAATTCTACACATTTGCAAAGTTGATACTTTCTTACATTCTTCCATTAGGTACTGGGCGAGCCCAATAATGAATTAGGCTGGGGCTGTCCAGCGGATGTGGACCAGCAGCCGCAGATGTCCTTACAAGATATGGAATATGATGAAAATGTTGATCCACAGCTGCTGCTCAGAGCGCTCATGCAGCATGCCCAAAGTCTGGGCATTAATCTGGAGCAATTGGGCAAGTACAAAGTTCAATCTAATCGTAATTTATATAAGAAAACTCATTAATAAATTACCCAAGCAGCACAAATGCATGCAGTTGGAGAGGATGACTTATTTGCCACCGCCCCGGAGGCTGGCTGTAGTCCAACCAATTCGCTTAGCTATCGGGAGCAGCCCAGCTGGTATGATGTCTTCTTCAACTAGATCAGTGAAACTGAAGAGCATACAGAAAATTATGCATTATGCACGCATATCTTGAAAATTACTAGCGAACGTGTTGATCAATATAGTAGACAATTATGTAAACTATTTAAAGCTCATCGTCAATGTTTTATTTAAAATAAGCGCGTAAGTACTGTCTGGTGGTAAGGATTCGTTTTGCATTAAAGCACAAAATCTGCCACTAAAACACCTCCACTAAAACGGTTACAATTCATGCTAAATTCGCGTGCGTTTTCGCATTTCTCGCTGTGTGTCCAATTGGCTGAGGGACAATTGATAAAACTCTTTTTCAAAACGCAGCTGGCCAGATAGAGCGGCAGAGCAGAACACGTTTCACTGCCAAGAAATCGTCGCCTTTTGAACTTAAGCAGATCAGTTTCATTTGCCGTGCAAGTTTGCAGAGCCTGTGTGTAAACATCGACGAAATCCTTATAATTGCCCACCAGCTTCTCAATCAGCCTGCGGGCATTATCCACATTAAGTTGAGTGCCATTCAGCGCCTCGCTGGAATTTAAGATGCACTCAAAAAGGCACTGGCAATTGAAAACAAAATACATATATTAAAAAAATGGAAAAATTATATATGGGAATTACTGCTCCCTTACTGGAGGCATTACTGTTCCCTTCATTTTCATATATTTGCCGCAGCTTTGTCGAAATGGCTGGATCTTCAAGTTGGGCGTCGCACAACATTTGCGTAGAGACTAGTCATATTAAATACTAGTAAGCGTAAATATCTTTTTATATATAGGCACAACTTACAGTAAAATCCATATGCTTCCTGCAGTCGAATGCCACATTGCTGACCAACAAGCTGAAAACTAGCCAGATTACTATAGCCACGAACTTGGGCAGCATTATTTTGTTTTCGATTACGACTCTCAGAGGATCATGTCTATATATACGTTTAACTAATGAATTTTACAAGTCAGTGGAGCGCACCCACATTATGCAGCTATTTAATAGATAAATCGCTTAATATTAAATATAATAGTGTATGCCTGTCATGGATTTTTTTGAAATGAGTTGCGACAATTCACGTTTAGTCGGATTGGTTGATTTTGCACTTGCTAGTTCAAAAAATGATCAAGTAAAAGCCCAAAAGTTGCTTTGAAAACTTTCCGCTCGTTTTCCGGCCTTGAACGCGGATTATTCAAAATTTTCAAATCGTGTCCTTAGCGATTCTTAATACAATGCGTTAAAATGAAATTAGAAGGTAATCCCTCATAAAAACTATACTTAGAATACTACTTTGACCATCCATTTTCCATTCAAAGCAAATGCTTTTGCTCATTCGTGTTTTCTTACTTCAACGATTCTGCTTTATTTCAAATAATTCTATCTAAAGAACCTGAGCAGTTGGATTTCCAATCGATTAGAAAAGAAGCCAATTGACGAAGACCGTATACCAAGGCGTGTCTGGCTGGTGTCTTTGCGAGCGCAACTTGAAGCTCGTGGCGCCACTGTTCGCTGTCTTGCTATGCACACTGAAGTCCAGGTCCCTGAAGAATTCCACACAGTTGGCCAACAGCTCCTGTCCGTCGTTACAATCGACGACGTTCTCCTGCCAGTAGCGTGCGGGACAATTAAGAAACGTATTCGATGCCACACACTTGTTATATAACATGGCCATGTTATCGCATTTCTCAAAAGGAATAATCTCCTTTGTTGGTGGTGCTCCTAATGCGGGCGCAATGTCAACGAAAATGTTGCTCAGATTATTGCAGTGCTGGTAGGAAGATCTGAGCACTTCACCATAGCTTAAGTACTCGCTATCCGCGCCATATAGTTGATCTATCATCAAACTGACATTGGACACATTCAGTATATTGTTATCGCCCAGCAGTCCCCAGTGATTATAAATACACGCATAATGGCACTAAAAACCGATTATAAATTAGTTTTAATTAATCTATATCCAAGTTAAATCACCCACAGCGCCATATTCATTCTTGATGTCGTCACAAGGGCTGCTTCTGAATAACAGTTTACTGGTCTTGGAATTACCACAACATTTGTCCAGTAATTTGATGTTTAGTAGATGGGTACAAAGAAGATTCTCATTGCTCCTCTGTGACTTCTCGGCATGCGTCACATGCAACACCTCCACGCAACATATAAGCACCATCAGACATACCGATTTGCTAAAACATCCGTGCATATTAAATAATGAAATTTTGAACATAATTTAAGCCAAACTTTTGATAATAAAATCCATAGGTACGTAGTTAATAAAATAAATACATTTAACGTAAACCATAATAACCACTTGATTTTTTTGCACAAGATTTTGCCAGCTTAACCTGGTTGGGCCATGATCGTAGTTATTAAGAAATTGTTATTATTTTGGATATCAATATAATTTAAAATATAATCTGGCTGACCCAATCTGGCTTACATTGCAAATCGATATACATATTTAACTTGAACCTTGCTGTCGATTAACCATTTATTCGAGTACTTAACATCAAACAAGTAAAAGTGATGTAGTCGAGTGAGCTCGACTACGATTTATCCTGAACCCAGTTGTTAAATATATTCTAGTCGCATTGGAAAGTTTCCTTTTACAAGTTTTTGAGTAACGGGACTCTGCAGCATACACTCAAAACATATTTACGCTCGCGTCGATTATCATGCCATCTCTTTCTAACGCATGTGCTCGCGTATTTATGCACAAGGAAAATGCTTGCGGCTGCTGATGGAAATGAGATCAATATGAGAACATATTTTCGACTATAGCTTGGGTCTTTCTTATCTGATCTTGATGAAATTTGGGCAGTTGATCAATAATGTGCATATGTATATTATGTATTAATTAGAAGAGTTTGCCTTTAAAATTGTGGCATTTATTGCTATCGGAAATTTAAAGATATCGATAATCGAGAAACGTAGGCTGTTATCGATAAAATAAAGCAAACTTGATCTGTGCCTGGTATACGTGATATTCCAAATTTGAAGTCTCTAGCTCTTATAGTCTCTGAGATCTACGTGTTCATACAGACGGAAGGACGGACGGACATGGCTATATCGACTCGGCTGTTGACCCTGATCAAGAATATATGTATATACTTTATGGGGTCGGAGATGCTTCCTTCAGCATGTTACAAATATTTGCACAAATCCATTATACCCTTTTTACCCATTTTTCATGGGTTCAGGGTATAAAAATGTATACGTAGACAATATTAAATATTTCCTTTTTAGTTGTATTGTAGTTTCAATTTTACTTAGTCATTGCTCAACAATTAGCTTATATTGAGTAATCAAGCCAGCTTTTATTTTAATTAAAAGTCATAATAATAGTTATTTGATTCATAACAGCTCTAAAATGCATATCATTATGTTAGATGTGACTGCAACAAGCCGAAAGATTTATCACCAGCTAATCTGTTGTCAGCACGCTAATTATTACCACAGATTTAATTGGAGTCATGAAACTACATTCAGTTCGTATAAACTCTTTCGTGCAAGTGGCTGCTCTTCATGCTGTTCTTCATATTCCTCACATTTCCAGCTGCGATGGGCGCAGCCAAGTGCAGAGCAGCCCCCAAATTTGTGCAGGTAACAACTATCATGAAATACTTGGAAAATATAAGGATATATATTAATCCACAGCCAATTACAGAATGTTCAGATGTGCTGTCCGTTACCCTTGCCCAATTGGGGTGTCTATAGCAGCGAGTGTGGAAACTCTGGCCCACAGCCCAGTGTAAGTGAAATGGTTCGCATTTTAAATGTCTTGCTTAAATAAAAATCACTGATTGGTTTGAGCTAGCTGTTAGCTTAGCTTGAAAAATAGAGCGAGGAACCTTGATAAGTAAACCATAACGACTTCACCTAAAGCTAATAAAACAAGTCATTGAGTAAATGGCCTATACATGTAGATATTTAAGCCAATATGTACAAGCTTATAACTTTACATCACTTCACAGTGTCGCTTGGCCTGCATATTCAATGCCACAATGGCGTTGCAGGGTCGCCATCTAAATCTCCGCCAAGTGCGTCCTATGCTTGAGCAAGCATTCAGCGATCCGGACATTATCGATGCCTATTCCAGTAACTTCGCCCCTTGCGCCTCGTTGGTGCACAGTAAGTACGGGGAGCTAGCGCAAATCAGTCGCCAGAGCGATGCGTGCGATCGTCATGCGCTCTTCTACAGCCTCTGCGCCTATTCGCGCCTGATGCAACGGTGTCCAGTCAACGCCTGGCAGCGGACCAACAAACAGTGCCAGGAGGCACGTACATATATGAAAAACTGTGCTTGGCCAGCTCTCAAGATGTTTATGAAAAGCACATAGAATAAACGATTTAAAGTAATGGCCGTTTATTGCTTATATAGTCGATCAGAGGGCGTGTTATCAAGTCCAGCACACTGCGGCTACATTTGGCATGGTAAGCTTCGCACTTATCCTGCTGGCCATCAAACTCAGCATTGTAGTATCTCATGGGCAAGGCCTCGTAGTATGAACTGCTCGGACTGAACATCACATGCATCAGACTGCCCAGTACACCATTAATCTCGCCCATATTCGCGCCATTCGCCTCACAGATGAGCCGCAACAGGCAGCTATCAGCGCTGCCAAAGCCATGCCTATGGAGGAGACGGGGGAGAAATTGTTTAATGCTGATCGTAACGTATATATAAGCTATACAAACTGTTCAAATCGTCGACTGAGTATCTCATAGAACTTGCTGCGTGAGAGTAGCGAATTCTCCCGTCGATGTCTGGCTACAACCTCGTCCGGATATCCCGCAAAGAAATTCTTGTCGTCATCCGCGGATGGTTTGGGTTTGTGCTTTGTTTTCAATTTGTGCTTGTTTCTCCGCTTGGGTGGTTTGTGGTGCAGTGGTTTTGGTTTTTTATGCTTTGGTGGCTTTGGTTTTTTGCGCTTGTGCTGTTGCTCCTCATCGTAGTCGTCGTAGTAATCTTCAAAGTCATCGACAGGACCATTAATTGGGCTTATATGAGTGCCATTATCACGGCGCTAAGCAATGGCAATGGAACAAAATTAACGAAATTCGATAATTCGACTTTGCAAAAGCTTACAAAATGAGCCCGTTCCTTATGCCAGGTTCGTGGCAGCCTGTAGTTGGCCTCAAAATTATACGACAAAAAGACATGACGTGTGGGAAGATCAATAGGTATCGCAATGGATATAAATATCTGAAAAAATATATAAATATTTATATATATATATATATTATATATTATACATATTTATATATATATATATATTATACATACTTATATAACACTCACCGCTACTTCACCACCCGTATTCCATACAAGAGCTGCCTTTCCTAACTGGCACAAATAAATGGCCAGCAGGATGTTCAGCATTCTTGAGACCATCTCAAAAATCTTTCTGCGTTGTAAACACCAGTACAAATTTCATGGAACTAAAAATTAGATTCGGCAAAACCACAACTGTATCGACTTAAAAGTGATGTGACAATTAAGAACAAATAGAATAGTTCTTGAGAAGTGAAAGTTGCTAATTAAAAAGCAGCCACACTTTAAATTAGGTCAAACAACAAAACAAAGTAGCAAAGAAGTTGAAATGTGTATTTCTTGATAATTGATATTTGTGTATATGACTCCAAGTGCTACACGCTAAAGCTTGTTAGTTCAATCAGGAATAAACCGGCTTATAACATTAATTAAAATTATACTCTAAATCTAATCGGTTGCAAACATTTTCTATATTTGTATTATTTTTAAATATTAGAAATGTACAATTTTTTAATGTAGTTTTTTATATTTTCCTCATTCATTTTTATTTTTTATAGACTAAATTTCATTGTGCTCAATGCGTTGAAAAATCTGCTCAAAGGGCTCTGATATCATATGCAACAAGCTTCTGCCACAATCACGCGCATAATGCTGGCAATTATCCTGCCAGCCATCGTGTTCCGCCTGATAGAAATGTAACGGCAACTGCTCCGGCTCTGAGGTGCTGGGACTATGTGACAAGATTTTATATTTAATAATTCTCGATTAGAGTTTAGCGCAGCTCACCTGAAGAGAACGTGTATTAGGCTCCCAAGAACACCATTGACATCGCCCACCTCAGCGGCGCTTGTCTCGCAAATTAAGCGGAGCAAACAGGACTCGCCAGAGAAGCCACTCCTAGAAAGTAGTTAAGTTTTAGTTACATACTCCATATATCATAGTATTAGAAACCTCTGAAACTTATCCATCAAGATGTGATAAATATTTGTTCGAGTGAGCAGAGCGCGTCTTTCACGCATAACACTCGAAGTGGGCATGGTAGTTGCATCTGGTTCTTGCTCCTGCTTACGATTTGTGATGTTCTCTACGGTATGCGCCTGCTCCGGATCATCTTCGTCAAGCCCTTCCTGCTCACCCTCCTCGTTAGTCTTACGCGATAGTTCCAGCTCCTCCGATTCGATGGGACCATTTTGCTACAGTAATCCAAATTATATTTGTGAAACTAATGCAAGTTCTGGGGAATCCATTTCAATTTAGTGAATCTCAAGCGTTTAGCTGCTAATTGACTTTTAAAACTTGTGCTAATTGTCATTGAATGAGTCGCTTTTATAGCCACCAAGCAAATATCGAATCACCGTAAATAAGACTTACAAATAAGGTCGGTTTGCTCCAGTTATAGGGCGAGTTGTAATTCGCCTCAAAGTTGTACGAGACGAAAACGTTACGATGCGGCAGCTCCAGTGGCACAGCCAAAGCAACAAAGATCTGCAGAGAGGGGAGCACTTAATGCCACTAACTACTAATCCCAATCCTGGGAAATAACTCACGCCATGCGTGCTGGAAGGTATAAAGGCCAAATGGCAATCAGCCAAATGGAAACATATCGCACACATGGCCAGCAAAAGGTGGACCGGACACATTATGGTTATGATCAACTTGAGGTTTAGTTAAGAACTGAGCGGTGCGCTCACCTAAAAACTGCGTTTACATTAAAGACACAACTGTTAATTGGCAACGCAAACGGCCAACAAGTATCCCAGTGAGTAAGAGAGAGACGCTATATTTCGAGTACTCTACTCCAGTTTATTTTTTTCTTCTTCGCTTGCTTGCAATGTCTTTGAGTATTTGCTCCACCGGCGCTGAAATCAGGTCCAAGACATTGTGTGAACAATCGGTGCTATAAGTCGCACATTGTTGCTGCAATCCATCCGCTTCGGCCTGGTAGTAGATGGAGGGCAGCTGCTCATCCCTGGAGCTGCTGGGTCTGCAACGCAATAAGGGATTTAGTTGGGTTTGCTCAATAGAATCTTTAAAATGACTTACGTAAATATTACGTGCACAATGTTCCCCAACAGTCCATTGACCTCGCCCAGCGTTGAGGCATTCGTCTCGCAAATCAAACGCAGCAGACAAGCCTCAGCAGGATAGGCAGATCTATATTGTATTAAGTTTTTGAAGTTATTAAAAGGCTTATACATATAGCGTAACTCGCACCTTTCCAGCTTGTCACGCAGCATTGCATAAAAGCTTTTCCGCGTCATCATCGACAATTCGCGTTTCTCTCGATTAGGCGTCGCTTGTGACTTCTTTCTTTCCTTTATTTTGGCCAAGTTCTCTGTCCGGATTTTCGCTGTACTGTTAACGCTCGCTGTGCAATTCAGACACTCTCTTCCAGTCGATGCATCATGCGTAGGATATGTTAGGTAATCTTCTGCAAAATCTTGACCCATCTTTTTTTCGGAAAAAATAATTTGTTTTAAGAAAAGACTGAGAGCACCAACTTGAATGTCTTCTGACCTACCAAAATGGGTGGAAATTTGTAAACATGCTCGGGCTGATAGTAATTAAACTCGTAATTATAAGAGACAAACACATTGCGATGCGGCAAACTAATTGGCACCGATATGGCCATAAATATCTGCAATTATATTCAGGTTAGCAACAAAATGCAAGAATTGCTAGCAGTTGACAAGTTACACCATATTCCGAATTTGTGGGATAAAGCAACGCAGTATTAATCAACGAAATTTGGCAGCTGCCAAGCAACCAGAGCCACAGCCACTGCCACAGACTACAATTTATTAAGCCCTGCATAACATTTATTTTCTAGATAACTCAATAAGTTGTTCCAGTGCGGATTATCAGTGACACAACGTTTAAGTTTCTAAAGTCGCGTTGAACTGGCGGGTATTGTGTCGGCAGCTGGCCAAGAAACTTGCCGTTAACAACTATCAAAAAGCTGTTAATTAGAAGAAATCAAACCATTTTTTTTTCTATCTTTTTGTGTTTGTTATGGGATATCGGTTTAATGCAGTTAGAACTTACAAGAGGCGGGGCAAGAAGATTCAACGAACTGAGGCACTGCTTAAGCCAAGCTGGACAGTTGTTCAAAAACTAAGCTGAACAATTCCAATAAACCAGTGAAAAGAAACATATGGCAAAATGATGTTGTATAAATTTATGAGTACACACATACAAACAGTGGTTATATCTTAGTTATGCACGTAATTCATATTTGCATTTGAATGCGTTGCGCTGCTAATCGAACGTGTTGAATGAGAACTTCCAGTTGATAATAATGTTGGTGAGGACATTGCATTTGTTATCTATTGTTGCGCAGCTTGCGCTCCTTCCATGTGGCAAATTTAGAGTTGGCGGTGCGCAGCAGCATGTTCATGTGTTGTGTGAGCGATGATCGCAACGGCGAGAGCTCGTGCATAGCACGATTCTAAGAAAGAGATTTGTTGAGTACACACATATATATATATATATGCACATCTGGGAATTGGCTTGCGTGTTGCTCACCTCGAAAGGCACTAGTTTGGCCATTTTGAAACGCTGCAATGTCTCATGCATGCGCTGCAGTTTGGACTCCAGCTCCTCCGTGGTGGGTGGAAAGCAGTTCCAAAAGTGTTTGAGAAGCTCCTGCAGCGACAGATACAAGTGTCGCAGGTCGCGTTGAAAGTCTTGTGGCACCAGCTCTGCAAGGATTAAAACAATATAAATACTCCATCTTCATATATACATTGTATGATGTGAACTTACGCCCCGCCGACTGCTCCTGAAATCCACGCATAAGAGAGCCGCCTGGACTGAGCTCACCTAGAGCATTAACGGCCGCCTTGGAGCATATAACATTTCGCTGGGCACTGCGATCCAGCCAAGACTCTGAGTTGCGCACCAGCTTGTACTGCACATATTCGAAGGCAAGTGAGTCGCTGTGGTTTTCATACATTTGATTTTGCAGGGGACCATTTAGGTAACGTTCCACTTTGGACAGCTCAAAATGCTTGGCCTTATTGGACGATTGTGGTGCGTCGTCATCTGATTCGCTCTGCGGATTGCCCAGATCTTCGTAACGTATCTTCTCCATGACACGGCGCCTCTTCGTTGGCGGCACATCTTGTTCACTGACCGGAGTATCGACTGTGTGCTTAGAGGCCTTGCCATTGAGGCCGTTGGTGTAACTGGACTGACCAAGTGGTCCATTTGCCATGCTTGTGCCATTTGGCATGGAGCCGGATGGGGCATTAACAGTGGCGCATGTCTTCAACACCATGATGGAATGCTGATTGAAGCGCTTGATCATGTTCTGATGGACAATGTTGCCACTGTTAACCACATTACGATCGCCGGCAACGCTTCCAAAGCCCTCCTCCAGCGGCACATCCTCGAACTTCTTCAAATCCAGCAACGGATCACCGGCACCCTGCTGCACTGCCGCCTTCAAGGCCTGATCGTCAATTTTGCCGCACTCGGTAAAAATGTCCTTGGTGCCGGCGGTGAGACGATCCCGATGAAAATAATGCGATTGGAAAAACTTGGTCCAGAACTCGGATTCAGGCATTTTGCCCGGCACATTCTCCAGATGCTTGCGCTTAACGGCGGGATATGTTTTAAAAATGCAGTGTATGACATCTGAGGTAAGATTGTATTTAAGGCCATTGCAACCGTCCGTCTGCGGCTTGATGTCGGCCAAAAAGGCACCAGAAACACCTATGCGTTTAATAATGGTAGCAATTAAAATAAACACACTGAATGGGACTATTAAGAGTAGGAAGACTTACCGATTTCCTGGCTCTTGCCCATTTTCTTGAGTGCATGATCTTTGGCGTGCGTCGCCCAGAATTCATCGCTGGTAAGTACTTTGGTTATGACAAGATCCTTATAGAGCTGCAATAAATTGGGATTCTCGACCAGTACACGATTCTTGTCCTCCAGATCTTTGTCGACTTTGCGCTTAAAGTTTGGCAACAGCTGCTGCAGCAGCTCCTTGACCTTGTCACGATCGGAGAGCATGGCCGGCTGGCCCTGGCGGTTAACAAAATGGAAAGTGGATGTGTTGCCATCGTGCAGCACCACCTGCAGCTGCACCTTTGGCTTGCCGTCGGGCGAGATCTTTTGTGCTGCAACAACAACAATAAAGCATCAACGTTAGTTCCTCCTCCTCCAATGTTAAACATTTGCCTACTTTTGATGTCCGCGTAGCGATGCGAAACGGTCACCGTGTCCCGGTGCTCCGCCATCCACGCCAGACGCTCGTTCATCACGTAGAGGGTGCCATCGCCCTTCTTGTAACGCACCTCGCCCATCTGCAGAAGCACATCCTCACTGCTGGTGGTCATTTCGTTGACGTCTGTCTCTCAGCCGACGGCAACGCTTCAACAATGCCCAAGTTCACATCAATTTCGCAAATGCGCCAGCCTGCTAATCCTGCAATATGCAAAATAATCAGCATTTTTATCGTTACACCTCACAATAATTGTATCAATATGTCGCATCGGCTGCGAAACACTCTCGGCATCGTTCTGTGTAACGTGCAAATTGCCAAATAGCACAATACTTCGCTATTTTCACGAGATTACTAAAAAACGCACCTCACAGCAATTGCTCAACAGTGTTTGTGGTTCGTGACGGAGCAAGAATCGTGAACTGGTTACTGTTCCAATACTTTTATTTTACCATATCGGTGGCAACTCTTATTTACGCAGTTACTTTTGAGTCGGCGCCAAAATGAAAATTCCCGTCCGCCAGTCAAAAAATAGCAATATGAAAACAGTCCATTTAATTACTTAAGCAAAACAAAACTACAACTCCGTCGTAGAATTATCAATTGATAATACAAAATAAACAAAATATATTCATGTGTGCGTTACACAATACATATACATATGACATATGTATACGTTAACCGATTACTCCTCCGTTTACCGTTTATTACTCAACGTCCTTCAAATCGATCTTTATTGCATTCTTCCTTTTCACAGCTAGACGGTTTTTATGTTGTTTTGTCAATTTCGTCATTCCAAATGAGACGCGCCTCGTAAAATTCAATAACGACTTGTGGACATTTAATGTTGGCCAGGTTGGCAGGCACCAGTCCAATAAGATTATTATTTTTCCAAGACATCAGGAACATTAGCTCTCCACTGAAATGGGACGCACCCAGGATTTGCGCAGGAATCAACCCGCGATCGAAACCAAAATTTCGCTCGACTTGACTGACACGTGTATTATCAATTCCTGATGCCTTGTACTTTTTGGCATGGGCTTTGATTTTCTCCGATTTCTCGAATGCGGCAATATCGGGGCATGAAAGATGTTTTATCGGCTCTCAAGTGTTTTGATTGCGTGGATATCCCTTCCATTTAAGGAAATACTCAGTGACTCCATTCTTTATCCGCTTGCCTTCAATACGTTCAACATGATATTCCTCCGCCATATTTCCTTTATGTGTTATGCGTTCTCAACAGTAATAATTTATTGCTGAGCGTCCAATTTGTGGTTTCGCGGGAAAGTCTTCTGAACCAAAAAGCGTATGAACTAGTTCAATACAATCGCGCTAATGGGCAATATTGCCCCTGGATATGGCAACGCCACTATTAATGCGCAACAAATTCAACTTATAAACGAATAGATATTTATTTCTGGTGTCTTTAGACTTTTTTTTTTTTAATTATGCTGTCAATACTTTTGAAATGATTTTCTGCACAGAGCATTTAGATTTGAAAAACAGTCCACCAAATTTAGTGCTATCGAAGCACTTTCTGCTTGCTCACAGGGAGAGACTTACAGTGTGAGAATGTTTACAAATTAAAAAAGCCGGCATTTGTTGTTTTAAATGTCACGGTGAACACTGCTCCACACATGCATATACACATTTGAGCGTATTACTGTTTCTTTATTCTATGTAAGTATGCAAGTGTGTATGTGCATATATTTGACACTCTCCTGGTGCTCTAGTCTACGTTAGTGTGTATGTATGCGCTGGCTAGTGAGAACTAACTGTACTATATACAACAAACAAGTTGTTATTGACTCATCGACGTATTTTCATTCCAATGCGAAATTACAACGAAAATGCATTATTAAAACATGAACAAGTAAAAGTACATTAGCTACAGCATAATATCTTTAAACATTGCTTACTCAAAAAAGCATGATAAATATTTTGTGTTCTCCGCTTCCTGCGTCTATTTTCAACTTCTGTCATCACTCCTTAGTTCTTGCACAATTTCATTTGTCTTGCTTTTCGTTTTCGTCTCTTAATTAAAACATGAAATATTGCAGAAAATTAAATTGACAAGCTATACACGTAGTCCGTATTATTTTCTGATTGTATTGTTTTATTTAAAATTTGTAGTTTTCATATTTTTTAATATTAGGTATGTATACGTACATATGTACATATATGCATGATATATATACATATATACGTATATATAAATAAGCTCATGCATTTAAATGTTCGAAGAATGATTCACTGAAATCTGGTGACCAAAAACTACAACTCGCTCTCTGGATCTCTCTTTCACTCTCAATTCCTCTTTGGTTACGAACTTTTTCGAAATTAAATTTCACAATTCTCAATAAAAGGTGGCAGAGCGACAGACAGAACTTCAGTCCTCAACGACCACAACAAGTGCAAGCAGCAGCATTCGCCAACGCTAACTGGCTTTGTTCGCTGTTCCCCACACAAAATTCCAAATTATTTAAACAACAACAAAGTGTGTGCCTTTTAAGTAATCAGCCATGGCAACAATCCAAATGACCAACGAACAACTGCGTGAGCTCATCGAAGCCGTTCGTGTGTCTGCCGTCAGCGCAGCTGGCAACGCTGCCGCTGCTGCTGCCAATGGCGAAGGATCCACTTCCAAGACAAAGGGCAGCTTCAGCAACTGTAGTCATCGATTTGGCGGAGCTCGCAAACACGACGAGGTTGAAGAATTCATCACAAATATCGTCACATATAAGGAATTGGAGGACATTTCAGATGAGAATGCATTGAAGGGTATCTCGTTGCTTTTTTACGGCATGGCCTCCACTTGGTGGCAGGGCGTACGCAAGGAAGCCAAGACCTGGGAAGACGCAATCGGGCTCATCCGCGAACACTTCTCGCCCACCAAGCCCGCCTACCAGGTCTACATGGAGTTCTTCGAGAAGAAGCAAGAAGATAGCTATGCCATCGATACATTTGTCGTCGAGAAACGGGCACTCCTCGCTCAGCTGCCTGAGGATCGCCACGATGAGGAGACTGAGTTGGATTTCTTGTATGGTCTGCTGAATATTAAGTACCGCAAGCACATCTCCCGTCAAAGTGTCCAAACGTTCAAGGATCTGCTCGAACAGGGCCGCATCATTGAGCACAATAATCAGGAGGATGAGGAGCACGCAAAGGGTCCGCTACGTGGTGCACGTCGCGTTGAACGCTGCACCTACTGCAATTTCCGTGGACACACTTTCGACGTCTGCCGCAAGCGGCAACAGGCGCGGCAGGACGCCAACAACGAGGCAGAGTAAAAGATGCACACACACATGAGACATGACATCATCGACTACAACAACAACAACAACAAGAACAGCGCCTCTGTCATCGTCTCACCAATACACGCTCACTTTGTCGCGTCGGCTGACACATGGCCAAGAATGAGAGAGAGAGACAAAGCTTTCGCAGCAGCATTTCGAACTCTCAATCAGCGCCAAGTGGCGTGCCGGCAAACAGAGCAGAGCTTTAACAACACCAAACATAGTCGACATTTCGATGTCGAAATTTATACTTCACGCTGCGCATGCGGCTATTTCGGCTCCGAACGCCGCAATTGATTGCAATTTACTACTTTTTGAACAAGCAACCGGTGAACATAGTTCACCAAACCCGAGTGACTGGAAACAGAGAGGAGTCCGGCGCACACATTCCGCACCCAGGCAAAGGCGTTGCGTTTTGATGCAGCGTAGCAGCGAGGCGGCGACTTCGACCAGCAGAGCTTTTTCGCTGTCGTTCTTTGGAACGGCAGCAGAGACAGGCTTTGTGGGGCGATCGTCGGCGTTATCTCTGCCGCGTCTGTATCGAGGCGCAGCGCCTGGGGCCGTGTTCGGTGTTGTATGTGCCCTGCCCCCCGCCGCTTCCACGTCGCTCAAAAACCGCTGCCTTGACCTAGTGCCATTGCTGCGCAAATGTAGACGCGCACGAGGCGCTCAAGTTGACGGATTGAAAGCGCTGCGCCGGCCTCGGCAGGCGCAGTGAATGATGTCGGCGCTTGTGTGCTGAGTTCGCGACTGCAGGTGCTGCTTGTGTTGGTCCTTAGTCAATGCGGCAAAACAAAAACACGTCCATGGGAATTTTCAGTAGTTTGCTTTGCGTGACGCAAGAGCGCAGAGAGAGAGGTCAATTCCATACTGAGGCAAATTCACACTGGCAACACTCGGCAGTGTGTTTCGGCGCAGTGCAGCTTTGTCGCCAACTGTGAATATGCCTGGTGTGGCGTTGACTGACTCTCTGCATTCTTGCGTCTGGCGCGACAGTAGCTGCTGCGAATTGGTCGTGGACAAAACTAAATTTCCCTTGAGGAAATTTAAACAACAACAAACCACTCTTTCATAAGACCTTTTTAGGTCTAGTGATTATTTGAACACATTGCACTACGATGGCTATGCAGTCGCCATTCGTGCAATTGGCACGCCAAGTTGTCAGTTGCTGGCTTCTTTGCTCCTTCGTGGATCATCGCCATGCAACGGCAAGCGTTAGGCACGCCAGCTACCTCTCTCACACACGCACACACAGGGGCTTTGGATTCGTCGCTTCTTTGTTGCTCCAGCTTGTTGGCGACTGTCGCAAAGCCCCAAATTATTTGTAAATCAAGTCTCTTGTGCAGAATCCTTAGGCGCGTAGTGCCACCTTTCTCCCAAAACATTGGATATCCATTCCATTATCGTGGCCATTTTTGTTGTAGCGCGCGCGCCAGTATTTTCGTGGAGCAATTTGGCCGCCATGGACGCAACAACAACAATCGCTCGCATTCCTCGATGGGATGTAGTGCCTCCCCCATGACTGAGGCAACTGCATTCACATCAAGCTCGGGGCCTATCGATGACCACAAGAGACTGTGATACACAGAAACCAATTAAATTGTAAAGACTGAAACCAGAAAAAAATTACAAAATCAAATCAAACTAAACCACAATTTTAATGCCGTTTTTATTAGGGGGTTTGCAGGGGTTATATTCGCATATATGTATAATCATACATATATATATATATATTTATATTTTTTTTTATTTTTGCAACTCTATTGAATTCTTCAATATTTTCTCCATCAATGTTCAAGGTCCGGTATCATTTTTTACCTACAATTTCATTTCGTTTTGTTCCTCATTTTCAGCTATTTTGGTTATGCACACACAAATTCGCATAAGGCTTTTGTGTATTCATTTTATGCTCTGTTTTCTATAAAAATTGACAGCACTCTGTGTGCGTGTTTGTGTACGTAGAATTAGCAGAGGGCGATAAAGCTGGGAAATGAAGAAGAATTGTAACTAAAATACTCCATTCGTATTTTACAGTTACACATCATTTGAGCCGTTGCAACCGCGATTAGCAGCGTTTTCCTGTCAACAACAATATTATTGCTTTAATTGACAAAGAAATGTCGCATACAATTTTGCTGGTGCAGCCGGGCGCCAAGCCGGAGACGCGCACATATTGCGACTACGAGAGCGTCAATAAATGCATGGAGGGCATCTTCAAGATCTACGAGGAGCATCTGAAGCGCAGCAATCCGCAAATGCGGACAATCACGTACGACATCAGTCAGCTATTTAACTTTATGGACACACTGTTCGATATCAGCTGCCTGATCTACCAGAAGATCACCAATACCTATGCGCCATACAACAAGGATTGGATTAAGGAGAAGATCTATGTGCTGCTGCGCCAAGTTGCATGCAGTCCGAATCTCTAGAAATTCGTGATTTATTGTAATACTGAGTCCACAGAATGGCAAGCATTTAGTTGACATCTATAATAAATTGGTTTTTTCTTACTAAATAAAAGTTTTTAATATTTACAAATCTACATATATAATTTAATTAGTTAATAATTAAAGACTAAATATTGGAGGAAGATTTCAATGCCTCGTGCGCTCCACTGTGCGGCCGCGTTCGAGCAGTTCTCGAAAGGATTTGATTTCGTGCCGTGGAATGTGTTCCCTGTATTTTTGCAGCATCAGGCCGTAGATGAAGTCCAGCTCAGTCTCCTCGTCGTGGCGCCCCTCCGGCAGCTTGGCGAGCAGAGCGCGCTGTTTGCATATGAACGCATCGATGACTTCGCCCTCATTCTGCTTCATCTCGAAGATTTCTAAGTAGACGAGATACGAGGGCTTTGTGGGCGAGAAGTGATCCCGCAGCAGTTGTAGAGCACTTTCCCAGGTCTTTGCTTCGCGTCGCACGCCCCTCCACCACATGACGGCAACGCTGTCGAATAGCAGCGAGATGCCCTTCAGTGCATCCTTGTCGCTGATGCCCTCCACCTCCTTGTACGTTTCCACTGCCGTTATGAACTCATCGACGGCATCATGATCCCGCTGGCCACTGAATCGAGCCGAGCAATTGCTAAAGCTGCCCTTCGACTGCTGCTCAGTTTCGACTTGTTGCGGTGCCAGCGATTTAATCGTATCGATTAATATGAGAAACTGTGCGTCCGACAGCTGAGTCATTTTCCACGAATAAATAAACGAACGGTACAAACGCAGCTGCTTCTGTGCTGGCAACTGCGAAACTGGCATGAAAATAATATTAATTGAAGCTTTTTTTTTATTGTGAAATTAAAATGTTGTTCTCAGTGCTCTCGAAGTGGAAGCTTTCGAGTTCGAAAAAACCGGCAATTGGTGCTCTTGTTGTTGTTCGCTCTTTTTCGCTTGTTTGCTCAACGTACATATGTTTTGATGTATGTATGTGAGTGGCTGTGTGTGTATATGTATGTCAACGGGGTTTTTTCATTAAATAATTGAGAAACTAACATGCTTGTGCATGTTTAGCAGTCAGGTGTTGCTTTTATATTTATCAATTCCCAAGAATTGATAAGTAAGCCACTAATTGTTGCACACCAAACTTATGAGCTATTGCCTTTATGGAAGTCTGTATATACAATATATTATACATATGTATGTATGTATATTTATCGACAAGATAGCGTACGTTCATATGCTTAAATAAGAGATTATTATAACTAAATCTATGCAATACGTATTCGCTCTCCGCTCTCTGCTCTTTGCTCTCTCCGGAGAGCGAGTTTGGTATTTCGAAGCTGAATTTCGCAATGGTGCGATTGGAGACCAGAATAAAGAATCAAAACGACACAGCAATTTGGATGCACAAGTGGTTCAGCGCATTCCTCACAGCTATTGTCCATTTGCTCAAATATGGCTCAGAGCATTCATATGACCAGTGAGCAACTTCGGGAGCTGATCGAAACTGTCCGATCTTCGGCGGTCAGTGCAGCAGGGAGTGCGATTGCTACCACTGTCGAAAAATCCAATGCCAAGTCAACGGGCAGCTTAAGCGCGTGCGACTATCGATTTGCTGGTTATCGCAAACACGACGAGGTTGAAGAATTCATCACAAATATCGTCACCTATAAGGAATTGGAAAACGTTTCGGATGAGAATGCATTAAAGGGTATCTCGTTGCTGTTTATCGGCATAGCCTCCACTTGGTGGCAGGGCGTACGCAAGGAGGCCAAGACCTGGGAAGACGCCATCGGGCTCATCCGCGAACACTTCTCGCCCACCAAGCCCGCCTACCAAGTCTACATGGAGTTCTTCGAGAAGAAGCAGGAAGATAACTATGCCATCGATACATTTGTCGTCGAGAAACGGGCACTCCTCGCTCAGCTGCCTGAGGATCGCCACGACGAGGAGACTGAGTTGGATTTCTTGTATGGTCTGCTGAATATTAAGTACCGCAAGCACATCTCCCGTCAGAGTGTGCAAACGTTCAAGGATCTGCTCGAACAGGGCCGCATCATTGAGCACAACAATCAGGAGGATGAGGAGCACGCAAAGGGTCCGCTACGTGGTGCACGTCGCGTTGAACGCTGCACCTACTGCAATTTCCGTGGACACAAATTCGAAAACTGCCGCAAACGGGGTCGAACTGCCGCAGATGCCAACTATGAGGGAAGTCGCAAGCGGCGAAAAACGCCGCAGGAGGCCAACAACGAGGCGGAGTAAAAGACACGCACACACATGAGACGTGACAAAACTGACTACAACAACAGCAACAACATGTGCAGGGTCATCGTCTCACCAATACACAAAGCTTTCGCAGCAGCATTTCAAACTCTCAATCAGCGCCAAGAGGCGTGCCGGCAAACAGAGCAGAGCTTTAACACCACCAACACATAGTAGTCATTTCAATATCATTTGAGCAAGCAACTGGCGAACATAGTTCACCAAACCCGAGTGACTGGAAACGGAGACAAAGGCATTGCGATTTGACGCAGCGCAACAACGACTTGGCCTCAACTTATGACTCTTTACGTCTTTTGCACCTACTGCAAGAAAATTTGGGAACTGCCGCAGTGAGGGAAGCGATGATTTTTATAATCATAAATAATGATAACCCCAATGTTTAGTCGGCTTTCATTATGATTCACTGGCAACAACAACTTTTCACTTAACAATTGAAAGCTTTTTCGAAATTCGTTGATATTACGGTTGGCTGTATAAGCAAGTGGTGAGCAGAGACATAATTCTAGTCACCACCTGTCCGCGCACAAGCCACAGCCAGTTTCTATTGGATTAGTTTGTGACCAACAAAATGCCCCACAAAATCCAAATGACGAGTGATCAGCTGCGTGACCTAATTGAAGGGATTCGCACAGCTGTCATTAGCGCCGCTGGATATGAAGTTGTCGATGGCTCAGATTCCACAATGCAGGGCAGCTTCATCAATTGCTTTCATAGATTTGGCGGTGCTCGCGACCACCTCGAGGTCGAGGAATTCATCAAGAATATAGTAACCTATAAGGAAGTGGAAAACATAAGTGATGAGAAAGCATTGAAGGGCATATCGTTGCTGTTCTTCGCCATTGCCTCCACCTGGTGGAAGGGCGTGCGCAAAGAAGCAAAGACCTGGGAGGATGCCATCCGACTCATCCGCGACCACTTCTCGCCAACCAAGCCCGCCTACCAGATCTACATAGAGTTCTTTCAGAAGAAGCAGGCAGTTGATGATGTAATTGATGAATTTGTGCTCGAGAAACGCGCACTCCTCGCTCAGCTGCCTGAGGATCGCCACGATGAGGAGACTGAATTGGATTTCTTGTATGGTCTGCTGAATATTAAGTACCGCAAGCACATCTCCCGCCAGAGTGTCCACACATTCAATGATCTGCTTGAACAAGGCCGCATTTTTGAGCATAATAATCAGGAGAATAAACCAAATCCACGTAGGTCTCCATATACACATGCACCCCAACTGCTTAACTGGCCTCATCTTTGCTTTCAGAATCTCACAGGAGCGGAAGCAGAGGTGGATGCAGAGGTGGAAGCAGAGGCGGAAGTAGAGGTCGCGGCACAGGCATTGGTAGAAGCAGAGGCACACGGCTACCTCTCAATTTGTGTGCATTTACCTGTCGTTAGTGCTTTCGTTAATTTCGGTAATCTGGTTGTTAAAGAGTAAATGCCTGGCAGGAAATCAGCTATGGATAGGAAATGTATTTTTTTTTTTTAATTTCTAAATAGAAACAATAAAACAATGAATGAAAGACTGACTCGGCAAATGCGCGTGCCTGCTACATCACTAAACTATGCTGATAAAGCGATTCACAACGCTGACTTGGCTAAAGTAGACTTTTTATTTCAAACTGCTCGTTCAACAAGTAATTTCTAAAGTAGGTGTTGCCAGATGTGTCTCTTTAAGCTGGCACTCAGTGATTTAGGGATGCACAATTGGTATTGGTATCGTTTGGGACTGCGCAGTGCGCAGGGTTGCTGTGCAGAAAAAGTATCGGTATCGGTCGGTCGTATTTTTGTTATGCTGTTGTTGTTGTTGTTTAGCAAAAATGGATCAACAACTGCACCGTCTGACGGATCGTCAATATTCGGATGTGGAGGGCTTGTTGCAGGTAAGCGGCCATCTTCTATATATTGCTAATATGCCAAATTCAACTGTTTGAATTATAACAAATATGCAACTCTCAACGTTTTCTTCATTTTTGTCTGCCCACTCACGCGAACGCACCCACACACTCTCACACACTCGCACTCACATACGACATACAAATAATACACATACATACAAAAACAAACACACACACACCTGCGCTTTTCGCCGCAGGCCATGGATATGCCGAGCTCAGACCACGAAGAAATTGAGTCGGAATCGTGCCGACTAAGCCGGTATAATGTTGCCAACCTGTATGAGGGACGTCAGCGTTGCTACACAATGCCACACGTGCCCCCCGCGCCGCCCTCCACACCAACGCTGTTAACGTCCAACGGCAACAGCAGCAACTGCCTCGCCACCAACGGGAATGGAAATGGGAGCGGGAATGGGAGCGGTAATGGGAATGGAAATGGCAGCTCCAGCTCACCCACCGCCAGCCTGGTGTCCGATAATCAAATCAATCATTTTATCTATGTGAAAAACGGTAAGAACCTGCGTCGTGAATCCCGCTGCGTTGACTCGGAACTGTCCAAGCTGTTCAACGTTGTTTCCATCACAAATCGGTTGACGGCCGTCAAGAATCGCACACACAGCAAACAGCAACTGGCCGAGCGGGGCATCATTAATGCATCGCGCACCATTTCCAAACTGCATGGGGCGACGAAAATCTTTAAGATCCATCGTGATCCCAAGGAATTCCTGCGCGAAACGGATGAGGATTCGGTGTCGGCGCCCGAATACGACGAGGAGGAGGAGGACACACGCTTCCGTTTCTTTCGACGGACACGGCACTCGCGACGGCATTCGTTCTCCCGGATGGAGCGTAAATTTGCGCGATTCGAGCATTACGAACGGATGGAGACGATTGTCGATAGTTTCGATGCGGCGATGAGTTTTAACGATGCGGACACCTGAGCTGTAGTTGATGCTGCTGCTGCAGCCGCGGGCAACAACACCACGGGCACGGGGCAGGTGGTTCGCCGCTGAGTGCAAACCAATGTGATGAATGTGAATTTCAACTAAATTATTTTTATTACTACTACTATATATGATTACGAATTATGATTACCGATTATCGATTATCGATTACCAATTATCGATTACCGAACTGTTCTCTCCATACATTTAGTTCTTTTGCGCTGATTGCCGTTGCGTCCTGGGCCACGGTTCACCTCATTATCGGACATGTGGCCCCGGACTCAAGCGCAGGGCGAGCATTTAGTTTTTAGCTTAGTTCTTATACGCCCCTGTGTGGTCTCTCTCTCTCTCTCTCTTTCTGTGGCGCCCTCTCCTTCTCTCTCTATGCCGACGTTTAACAGCAGCACCAACCACAACAACAACAACATTAACAATTACAATCAACAGGAAAGCACAATGCCAAGAATTTGGTTGTTTTTGTTTTATTTGCTGAGAATGTCGACCACAAAGAGAGAGAGCGAGAGAGAACCAAACAAACTATTCCAATAAATGCACAAAATAATGTGTTGTATTTGTGAAGACGATAACCCGTAATTTTCTTATCGTCATCGTCATCGTCTGTTGACATATCCACAAGCGGATCATTTAAGAAATTGTTTATATATGACAGCGATACGATATTGTGATTCAGACTATATATATATACAAAACTACCGAAACAAGCCGTCTAAAAGCATTTGTACAAAACTATATCGATTGTGTTTATCTAACAACTCTATAACAAAGTGCAATCATCAGGAAGTGTGCACATTAATGCATTCTTCTAGAATAAATGTAAAAGTCACAATTAAACAATTTCCTAAACATATCCATACAAACAAGGGCGTACGCAGCTTTTCTCTAAGTGTACATGTGCGCGTGCGAGTGTGTGCGTGGGGGAATCTAAAATGTTTGGCATATTTACAGGATGAACACTAAAATCAATGGGAAACTTTTAGAATGAAGCAATAGGCTAGGCCATTTGGTTTTCAGGAAGCTAACTCTAGCTCGGCCATAAGCTTGCAGAATTTTCAAGGATTTGGCGTGCCAGGATCAACTTCATCACCACTTGACCAATTTTAGTCACATGGAGACTCGAAGCGGGCTAAAAACGATAAGTTCTTCATAGCTTGAAAGCTATAATTACAATTTTGATGTCCTCATACGGACAAGAAATTTGACACAGGTCTCGCAAAGATACTGCTGAAAATTCTTAGTTCTTTCTGCTGGTTTCCGATTTGTCAAGACAAGGACTATTTTTATGCCGAAGAATATTCGGCCAAATTAAGGCAGATTTCCCATTTTCTATTCTCATTTTTTCTGCATATTCTAAAAAACTTTGAAAGCATTTCGACACTTACGAGATAAGACTACATAGTAATATCCTTTTTATGCATACCACCTTATTACGGAAATATTCTGACATTTTCAAAGGAGAAGGATCGCAAGGATTAGTGCTATCAAAACTAAAAAATGATGGAGGTTTTTTCTAGCACTCTAGAAATAAGAAACGTGCCTAAATTTTTTTTTATTGAGTAGCCGACGACACACATAAACATGGATAATACAATAGTAAGGAGAAGAATAGCTACAACTAGAATACAACTAGTTCCGAGAACCGATTTAAGCTTTAGAAGCTTAACAACAACATTGTTAATAGTAATAATAATAACAGTAATATAATTCTAGGTGGTAATTCGAGTAATGTCAAGCTTAGATGCGCTCCTTGAAGAAGTTGGCCATCAAATTCTCTTCGAGCTGCGCGGGATCAGTCACCGGCATGCGACAGACACGATCATGGCAAATATAAACGGTTGTCTTTCCATTGACCATCTTAAATTTGGTCTGCAGTCGCTGATTGCACGCCTCGTCTGGATGCTGCGGATCGCAATGGACGATGATCATGCCAGGTACATAGAACTTGCGACAAATCTCGACAAAGCGTGCGGTATCTGGCGAATCCGGGCCGACCACTGCCACCAGGTCCAGGCCGTGCTCGTGCAGCATCAGCGCTGACAGCATCTCGGGCAGCGCATGCCCAAATGGCGAGACATCGGCAAAATAATTGAGAAGTTTATCGGTCCGTTTCAAATACGCATCATCGTCGTAATAGTGCGTCAGTAGGGTGAGATTGCGTGCGGTGACACTGTTGCCGCAGGGCTCGGCGCCATCATGATCTGCCGATTAAAGATTAGGAGGATTACAAATAAAGCAGTTCAATAACGCACCTTCCTTAAGCCGGACAATAACATTGGGCGCATCCTGCTGTGAGTAGAAATAGGCGCCATTTTTCTCGTCCCAGAAGAGTTTGTCCTGCGTCCCCTGCAGCTCCTTGGCCCACCGCAGAGCGCCCATATCCAGCGATGCCTTGTAATAGTCCAGCAGTCCCTTGATCAGAAACGCATAGTCATCCAGAAAGCCCTCGATGCGCACTCTGCAACCAGAACTTGCTTTAGATTCATAGTTACAGCTTTGACTTAGGCTTAACTTACGCATTTTGCTCCAATGTGTTATCCTGGACGCCAGCGCCATAGCAAGAGCGGAGCAGCACCTGCTGCTCCTCATCGTAGAGATGCGTGCGTAGAAATTGCACTAGTTCCTTGGCTGTTTTCAGATACGCATTGCGCTTGCCGGTGCCGCAATTGGCCAGCTTGGCGAGACCGGACAGCACTAAGCCATTCCAGCTGCATATGATCTTTGTGTCCAGGTGGGGCCGTGGACGCTTATCCCGCACTGCATGCAATATGTCATTGGCCGTGCGCAACAGTGGCTTGAGTTGATCCAATTCCACGTTGAAATTGGAGCACGTATCCTCTTCGGAGCCGCGCACGATGAGCACATTCTTGCCGGTGAGATGCCCATGTGGATCACTGTCGGGCGGCACATTGCCGCCTGGCTTCATGTCATAGTGAAAACTATAAATATCAAAGGCGCGATCCGGACTGACATCGTTGAAGTGTGTCTTTTGCGCTCTGAACGCATCCTGCACTTCCTGCCAGGTCCAGGCATAAAAGGCACCCTCCACCTTCACGGTGTCCTTATGCGTAGGCAGCGAGTCTGCATCTTCACCGGCAAAAAAGCCGCCCGCCGGATGACGCAAATCCTTGAGCAAGTACTCGTAGATTCGATCCGCATAGCCAAGGAACTCCTCGCTGCGCGTCAGCTTGTAGGCATTTGCAAAGGCGGCCATCAGCTGACCCTGATCGTACAGCATCTTCTCAAAATGGACATTATGCCAGTCCCGTGTGGTTGCGTAGCGCGCAAAGCCGCCAAAGATGTGATCATTGATACCGCCACGTCCAATGTGATCCAGTGTCTGCAGCACCATGTCCAGCACGTCTACATCCTTGCTAACCAGATAGGCGTGAAACAGGAAATTGAGCCGTGACACTTCCGGGAACTTGGGCTCCCGCCCAAAGCCACCGTGCTGCTGGTCAAAGCGCTGCTTGTGCACATTTAGTGCCTCTGCCAGTTTGGCATCGGCGCTGCCCGGCTCAAAGGCGGCCTCGCCCACTGCAGAAGCATTCTGATTGGCTTTCAATGCGTCCATCAGTATGGAGCCCGCATTCTGGAGTGCTGCACGATCCGTTTGCCACTTCTTGGCTATGGACTCCAACACCATGGTGAACGAGGGCATGCCATACCTGCGTGAAGCAATTATCAAATTAGTATTTTTAATTACGAGTGCATTTTTTAATATGATGAATTATTACCGCGCCTTGGGCGGGAAATATGTGCCCGCTGCGAGGGGAGCCAGTTCGGGCGTTAACCAGACGCTCATTGGCCAGCCACCGCTGCCCTTCGACATGAGCAGAAACTGCATGTAGACCTTGTCAATGTCTGGTCGCTCCTCGCGATCCACTTTAATGTTCACGAAATGTTTGTTCATTACGGCCGCCGTGTCGGCATCCTCAAAGGATTCGTGCTCCATGACATGACACCAGTGGCATGTCGAGTAACCAACAGATAAAAATATTAACTTATTCTCGCTGCGCGCTCGCTCAAAGGCCTCCTCGCACCAGGGATACCTAATAAGAAAAGCTGTTGAGTTGGCAGCCCTTGATATGTTTAGGATTTATTCGGACTCACCAGTCAACGGGATTGTTCGCATGCTGCAGTAAATATGGCGACTTGGAGGTTGCCAATCGGTTGCTAGGCTTTGGCGGCGGCGCCTTTGTTTCGCTACCCGTTGCCATGCCACGAAGCAGATGCTGCTGTTGATGCTTTGTCGGTGTTGCTGTTCTGCTTTGTATTGAGGATTGACTTCAGCATCAAATCAAATTACGTATTTAGTTTAATTCGAATAACTGTGAATTATGCCAAGTATTTTGCACTTACTCGCCTTGTAGCCAACTACGCTGTACACTCGTTTGAGGCGCTGTTAATGCAAAAGCGCTTCTTATCCAGGTCTGGCAGAGTGTTTTGCCTCTAAACATAGCAATTTTATTGATAATATATAATAATCGGGGTATTCCGTTAACTTATTGGCAATTTAATCAAAATTAATCGATTAGATACCAGGTGCTCCTTTTTTCGTTTTAAATATTTTTTATTTCTAATAATTCACGGTTACTAGCAGTCTTTTTAATTATGTAATTGTTTTCAAAATACTAACAAATTAGTATAAAATATGCGTCGTATGGATTGTGAAATATTATTTAATGCAAACTATCGATACTGGAACTCGATAGTTGTTCGTCGATATTTTGTGGTTAATGTTGATAAGCAATAGGTGTTTGAGAGTGGCAACGCCAACTAGATTTGCAGTCCGCCAAATTCAAAATGCAAGTGGAAATGTAAATTGTTTTAAAATTTTTATTAATGCATATAGTTTATCTTTGTTTTTGATAATTCTGTAAAAAATTGCTTACACATATGCGCTTGATACATATATTAACCTACATGCTAATTGAAAATCACAAATGAACATAAAATATTTATACATTATAGTGTGTGTGGTTTGTATTTAAGCACAACATCGTTTTAAGTTAATACACATCCCCCGACCGGCGGCAGAGGCAGCACCCAATTCTCACAATAATGCACTCAACTTTGAGTTGACAGCACGGAAAACTGAGTAGACGGCATCAGTAGCGAGGCTAATTAGCAATCGCTTTGGACTAGCGCATCGCTGAGCGCGCCCAGCTGCTCCTCGCTGCCTTTAATCCTGTCGGCCAGATCGCGTGCGTCGGCAATGAGTTTGGCCTTCATATTGATAAAGTAATCATAGTCGGCGCACATATCGGCGCTGAGATGTTTGCCAAACAACTTGGCGATGCTGCTGCCACGCCTATCAATATCCGCCTTAAGGCGTTGCGCCTCCTCCAGCTGCTCGTAGAGACGTTCGCACTTGGCTTGCAGCGTGTTCTGTTGAATTGAATTGATTTAAGTTAGTTGAAATTTCACAAATTGTATCTGGTTTTTTTTTGGCCTACCTTCTCCTGCTGGCTGCTGGATGCGCGTGCCTCTAGACTGGATTCGGTTTGGGCCAGGCGCTCCGATAGCGATAGCAACAGACTGGTTATGTGACCCACATCATCGATGTAGGTGCGGAACTTGGACGCTTCGCTGGGACGCACCTTCTCCGTTAGATTGGCCAGCAAATCACTGCCCAGCTTGTCATTGGTGAAGCACTCCTCGACAATTGTTTCCTGCTCGCGCTTCAGTGCGACAATTTTTTGGTTCAACTGCTTAATCAGCTCATCCTGTTCAAAATAAAATAAAGATGGGGATTAGCTCAAGCTTTTGAGATGGAATAGGGTGAAACTCTAGAATTCAAATTTCAACCAATTTGTTAGACCCAATCCGTCAGTTAGTGATACCAAAATGTTGTACTTACACATGTAGGTAAGTTTACTCACCAGCTTCTGCTTGATTAAATTCGTTCCCGTGTCATCTGTTAGGTGCAGCTCAACGCTGGTCAGCTGCAGCTCTGCTTTAGCTATTAATGTCGTTGTGCCCGCTGCTTTCATGCGCATCAGCGTCGAAGTACCCACATCCCGCTTGGCCGGACGCAGCGGCACATTGGGATTGTACAAATTGTTGACGTATTGCGTCGTCGGCTTGCAGCTTTTTGGTGTTAGGATTTCGATGAGCTTATCGCTAGGCGGCAGCTGCCTGAGCAGCTCCAATGCCGAATGCTCGTATTCCAGCTCAATGACCTGACGCTGACGCGGTTGGAGTGTCGTCCGTGTCTGTTGTTCTTCGCGAGATGCCACCAATTCCGTGTCGAGCAGATCATCCGTCTGGCAGGCCATGTCAACAGTGCTAGGCGTGGGATTCACAATCAGCACCAGTTCGCTACGTTGCATCAGCTTCAGGCTATCCGCGCTTTCATCTAGCGTGGATGCAGGCACTGATTCTGCTTCCAACTCTGTCTTAATGATCTCTTGGCTGGGTGGCGGGCTGGGCGGAGGTTTCGGCTCTGTGCTGCTGGGGTTCGACGGTTTGACTGTTGTGGGATAGCTACCCAGGAGTCCAGTGTCGCAGAGGTGAGCGGACATGAGTTGCGATTGCAGTTGTGTGATCTTCTCAATATTCTCGCGCAGCGACTCCTGCCGATTGACGGGCGGTGGCTTCGGCAGCGTCGCTGTCGTCGTCGTCGTGGTGCTAATCACCTCGGCGCGAAAGATGTGGGGTTCGGGATTCGTTGTGTTCACGGGACTGCATTCCAGCGAACTGTTGCTCAGGCTGCAGTCGGAGTGTGCCGGCGATAGGAGATGCGGCGGCGGCGGTGGTGTCGGTGGCAACAGATCCTCCTCCAGTGTCGTCTCGAGGTCATGGACAGCTTGCTTAAGATCGACATGTGACTGGGACATGAGCGGCGTGCAATCACTCTGCAGCTGCTGTTGCTTCACATCATACGACTGAGATCGCGTAAATTGAGACGCTGGCGATCTGTAGGCGGGGCCCAAGGCGGGCGAAGAATACCGTTGCTGCTGCTGCTGCTGCTGCTGTGCCTGCTGTTGAGGCACCTGTCCATAGATCATGGCATAGGCTGTGCTATTATTATTATTATTGCCTGGGCCTGCAGCTGTGGGCGTGGCATTTGTTGGCGATTTCGTTGCGAGGTTATTATTGGAGCCATAGCGCAATGCCACAATGTCTCCAGGCGAAGTGGGCTTTGCAGGCTGCTGCTGCAGTTTAACGCCCAGCGGTAGGACATCGGGCAGATTGTTGGGCAGCTTCAACTTGCCAGGCGTGACAACACCATAGGTGGGCTTGCTGTGCGCCACCAGATCCTCGTTGGAGGTGAGAGTTAGTTTATAGATGCCATGATCCGGATCCGTGTTGTTCAGCTTCTCCAGGCTCTGACGCGGCAGATACGAAGCCTTTGAGTTCGATCTGTAAGTAGTGGGCAAAGAGTTTTGATTGTTTAAAACTTATTGCTTATACACAGGAACGTAGTCTTAGATGATATATGCCAAAATTCAAATGTTTAATTTCAAATGATTTTTAAATATCAACAGATATGCATTTAATTTAATTCTTCTTCTCTTTACATTTTAAAAATAAGTTTTTATAATTAATTTAAGATGGATTTGAGTTAAATGAATTAAAATTAATTTCAGAAAATAAAAATAAAAAGTTTATTTTGAAGATCTCCATAGCAGTGAAATATTATTTATGTATCAAAAAATTAAAAAGATAATGTGAAAATATTTATTTAACTTGAGTAAATTTAAGACACACTTGAAGTTACTACGAATTTTGATATCTATAACAAAATAAAAAATCCGAAATAAAGTTTTGTTTTGTTTATTTGCAACTGCAACTGTTGAGGTATTCCGCATGGCAAACAGCTGTCATGTGACGAACTCTAATAAGCATATGAAATTGCTTTTGGCCCTACCCAAAATGTCTGGCAAATGTCAATCGACTAAAGATTTTAGTTAGTTTGTTAGCGTGGGTGGAGAAGTGGGAAACATAGAGAGGGAGAGAGAGAGAGAGAGGTCATCTGCTGGGGTCATCGGCTGCTTACGCAGGCCACGATTTGGCAGTCTCGTTAGCAGTTACGATCAAACATTATGCAAATTGGCTGCAGCAACATAATCTGAATGGGCTGCTAATTGAATCCTCAACATTTGGCTTAAAGTACAAAAATATTCACATCTTCACATCTCACAATCTCAGCAGTTAAACTGCAGCACCCACATGGCGAAAGTGACTGCCCCGAAAGAAACAAAACAAAAAATAATAAAGACAACCGAAAAATTATTCTGTGCACGATGCGCGGAGACAACATTTTGTGTTTCGTATGGATATTAAAACAGTTTTCGAGACACAACCAAACAAAACGAAAGTGAAATGTTTACAGTGCAATTATAAAGAGTTTTATGTTTCAGTTTTCAGTTTTTTCTTTTTTTTTTCTTTTTTTTTTTTAAGAGTTCAGTCTTTAGTCAAAGTATAGCCTCATTTTTGTGTGCAGCGCGTATGACGAAGGGATGCGGCAGAAGAGAAGGGAGAGTGAAGAAACGACGGATGTGTCGACAACTTTCAAAAGTGCTAAACTAATTTTTTCTTTTTTTGCTTGAATTTTAATGTGTGCGATTTGCGGCATGGCCACCCCCGGGATTAGACAATAAGGTGTTGCTCTAACGGATTAATGCTGGCCTGTGCATTTTACAGTTTATACATATATATTTATATACATTTGAATAAATCTGAACTTGTATTGTCAAAAGAAAGCCGACGTAGAAATGCTGCCGACTTGCACATCTGCATAAATTAAGAGCAAAAACACATTTTGGCCGCTTACATCACCCCAACAACAGCTGTAGTCAATGTAGCTGGTATCTGTAACTTGGTTGCTCTTTGTATCTGTGTATCTGTATATTTCAATTGGCCGCCAGCTGGCTTAGCATTTGCATAAGCGACTCTTTTGTCTAGTTCCCAACGCCTCACATTTGATTAGAGCCGACAAAACGCAGCTTCTTCACTTTCTTCAAGCCAAGCAAAGGCATCCGTCAGATACATTAGCTGTTGCTGCTGCTGTTGATAGCTGTCCACTTGTTGCTTCTCTTAATAACTTCCGTTCACCGCCTGCCAGTTGAGTAATATGCATCTATATATATATATATATATGTATGTATGTGTGTGTTGCCAATTTTGGCATGTTTACTGTTTGAGTGTTTCTTTTAACAGCCAAGCCAAAAAGTGTTTCATTTGCATTTGGTTTTTGGTTATTTGGGATTTGCATATTACAGCAGCGACAGAATGTCTGGCAAATGTGAACATATCTCCCACTACAGCCAAATTTATCTTGTATAACAGGGAAAGGTGCTGATTGATATCCTAAGCTCGGAATTTGTTTTGTGTCTTTGTCTTTGTTTGATTTTGTATATTCTTATCTAACATAAATGTTGTTCCTCAAATTATAATCTTAAACTCGGATTTACATTTGGGCCTAATTTGCTTACTTGACATTATGATGCTCACTGATAAGTCTCTATGTGTGTGTGTGTGTGTGTGTGTGTGTGCGACTGTGTGTGTTATTTGTCATAGCACACACCTATTGGACAAGCCCGCTCGGTAATATCAACAGAAATAGCACTGAGTAAATGTATACTAAGTACTACAATAAGTTTGACTATGACGTTGACTGAGGAAATGGTAGAGAGCTAAGGTCAAAACCAGACTACAAGCAAACAACTATCTGAGACAATATTTTTGATGACTGCAGTTCCTTCACCTGGAAAAAATAATTGTTGCTAATATTTCTATGTAATGATCATATCGAAGTTATGAATAGATTCTCGTAAGTTTTTGTTTGCAGTCCTTTGACTGCATTAATATTTTGCCTAGTTGTATTAATGCCTAAATTGAAGCATCATCATTTTAAAAAGTTTGCTCAATCTTCATAAAAAATATTGTCTATTTAGGCCATATTTGATATTTTATAGTTGAACAATATCTCTGCGCAGTATTATAGCAGTGAGTGCTGTAAATATAAGAATATATCGATTGTAAATACACCAATAAAAGCTAATGAATAGAAAACAATGAATTGTTTGTGTTGCTGGCTGATTCAAACGACTTACTCAAAGTGCAATGAACGAATATATTATCTGATGTACGATAGAACTGCTGTAGCTCATTGATAAGCCAAAACAAAGCACAATCACTTTGTAAAAAGTTCTTAAGAATCGATTCTAGACATACAATAAAATATATGAAAAAGCGACTTAAAATTATAAGACTTTAAACTGAACATTCCATACTTATATAACGTACTAAAAGGTGTATATATTTATTTCAATCTCATCCAAGCACTTGCGCAATAATTGCCAAAAGTCCACCCGCCCATTTTGATTCAAATGGGGAGAAAATTGCACCCGCAATGCTAAGTAGTTGGATTATAATACCCAGATTTATGGCAAATTATTGTTTCATTTGGTTATGGTTTCTTTGAATGAGTTTTTGAATGTTGTGTAAGAAGCGTAATGCGTTGAAGCATTTCATTGAAAATGCTTTATAAGCCAAACAAAAATGCCGAAAAGACAAGAGAGACAAACAGAAGAAAGGGCCCAATGAAATGCTTGGCTGACTATCTTGGATTTGGGAGTCTCTCCGTCTGGTCAATAACATTTCCATTTCCATACAATTAACGCATAGTTTTTGGCTGTTATTTTGTTTTGCTTTTTTTTTTTGGCTATGTTTGGGGCGCTGGTTATGTGATGCAAATTATGAATTCGAAAGAGCAGATTTTGATAAATTGCCTGGTCTTTTGTTTTGCTAGTCGCCAGTTGATAGTTGGCAGTTGCATAACCCGAGCTCAATCGATAGACCCCCCTGCTATAGCCCCGTTGATGATTTAGTTATGAGGCAGATGAGGCATTTGAGGCAGGAGCATTGGCTGGGGTTCACTGTTTAAAACGGCGTTGCATAAAGATTGGCGAGGAGTCACTGTCACTGTCACCATCACCATCACCATCACTGTCACAGACGCCCCCTGTTGCTAGTTCCAGTTGCAAGTTTGCAGTCTGGCTGATTTGGCTTTTGGTCACTGGCCTCTCTGCGTGGCGCGGCGTTGCGTATGTAACGTTTGGCGCCGTTGCACTATAATTTTTGATCAGCAATATACCAAGCTGGTTGCCGCTGATGTTGCTCTTGCTGACTAGTTTTCTTTGATAGTAAAAGTATTTTATTTAAATATGCCGACGACGACGTCGCTGGCGACGCATGGAAATCACGTTTTTTACATCTCGTCTTAACATTGAGCCACAAAAAAGAAGGCGAACAAATGTTCGCTGCTGTAGTTGTTGTGCTTGTTGCTCGTTGTTGTTGTTGTTGTTGTTGAAAACATAAACATCTCTCACAAGCTGAGCCGAAAAAAACCGGATTGAACGCGTCGCACACATTTTCACTTGCCGCAAAATGACGTCAAGTCCAACATAAACAGATGGCCAACAGAGTCACCGTCGCCGTCGACGGCGCAGTCGTCACTTTCTTCTTTCGGCGGGGCATGAAATTGCACTGAGGTCAGAGCAGTGTATAGTGTACAGGGGGGATCGAGAGGTCAGGCAGCCGCTACTCGATACGTTGCACACACCAGAACAAATTGCAGCAGCAGCAAGAGCAGCACCATTGCTCGATTGCTCTTCAAATTCCTGTCGAACTCAAGTCTGGTATTTAGGCATTTTTTTTATTATTTTTTATTGTTGCTGCTGTTGTTGTACAGCAACTGCAGGCAAGCGACAGCAACACATCAAACTATGGCATAAATTTCTCTTGGAAAAATTACTGTGAAATACCAAAAACAACGTGAAAAAGCACGGCATAAAGTAAAGTAAAGAAAAGCAAAGACCAAACAGCACATGAAGACAAGAAAAGAAAAGAAACGAAAAGAAAAGAAAAGTTCTCTTTTCACATTGAAAGTGGACGTTGCAGCATCTGCTGCTGCCGCTTGAGTAGCCAGCCAGCCACACTCGAGAGATGCGTCTTTGTGCGCAGCACATTGGTGCCAAATGCAATTTATGCGAATTTATTCCGCATTCAGAAAAATGGCCCAATATCTAAACAGCCATTGGAGGTGTATATTCATGAGAAAAAAACAATCAAGCAGCTTTATTCCCTGTCCACCCCACACCACATCACAACTTCTTCTTGCTGCTTATGAAAAAATACAGTACAATAAAGGAGACCCTTACGAAAAGCTGGGTACGCCCTTAGGAGTAATATAAATTATAATTCGATTCTTATCTTGGGATTCCTACCTAAGAATTTCTTACAATATCCTGTTTGATATTTGCTATGAAAACTTAAATAACTTTCTTGCATGGTGTTTTAGAAAGACCTACGAAGAAGTATGCTAATTTTATGCAATAGCTTTTTGGGAATTCAAA